TTGTATTTGCTGTATTTTCGAAATGCATATGGTTTTGGGAGGAGATTTCTGGCACCTTAGACACAGTGCCATCTTGAGCGCCTCTCTCTATTTGGGGTCTTTTGTGGGTCCATATGAATTTTAGAACTATTTGTGCTAGTTCATTGAAGAATGCTATTGATATTTTGATAGGGATTGCATTGAATCTGTAGATTGCTTTAGGTAGGATGCCCATTTTGACAATATTGATTCTTCCTGTCCATGAGTACGGTATGTGTTTACATTTATTGGTATCTAATTTCTCTCATGAGTGTCTTGTAGTGTTCAGAGTATATAGGTCTTTCACTTCCTTGGTTAGGTTTATTCCTAGGTATTTTATTCTTTTCGATGCAATTGTGAATGGAATTGTATTCCCGATTTCTCTTTCTGCTAGTCTTCATTAGTGTATAGGAAAGCAACAGATTTCTGTGTTTTAATTTTGTAACTTGCAACTTTGCTGAATTCAGATATTAGATCCAGTAGTTTTGGAGTAGATTCTTTAGGGTTTTTTATATACAATATCATGTCATCTGCAAACAGGGAGAGTTTGCCTTCTTCCTTACCAACCTGGATGCCTTTTATTTCTTTGTGTTGTGTGATTGCTGTGGCTAGGACCTCCAGAACTATGCTGAATAAAAACAGGGAGAGTGGGCATCCTTGTTCTCCATCTTAAAGGGAAAAGCTTTCAGCTTCTCGCTGTTCAACCAATGGTTGGCTTTGGGTTTGTCATATATGGCCTTTATTATGTTGAGGTACTTACTTGCCCTCTATATACATTTTGTTGAGAGTTTTTATCATGAATGGATGTTGAATTTTGTCGAATGCTTTTTCAGCATCTATGGAGGTGATCATGTGGTTTTTGTCCTTCTTGTTGATGTGGTGGATGATGTTGATGGATTTTCGAATGTTGTACCATCCTTGCATCCCTAGGATAAATTCCACTTGGTCATGGTGTATGATTCTCTTGATGTATTTTTGAATTTGGTTTGCTAATATTTTGTTGAGTATTTTTGAGTCTATGTTCATCAGGGATAATGGTTTGTAATCTTTTTTTTGTGGTGTCTGTGCCTGGTTTTGGTATTAGAGTGATGCTGGCCTCATAGAATGAGTTTGGGAGTATTCCCTCCTCTTCTACTTTTTGGAAAACTTCAAGGAGAATGGATATTCGGTCTTCACTAAATGTTTGATAAAATTCAGCAGTGATACCATCTGCCCCAGGGATTTTGTTCTTAGGTAGTTTTTTGATTACTGGTTCAATTTCCTTGTTGGTAATTCATCTATTCAGATTTTCTGTTTCTTTCTGGGTCGGCCTTGGAAGGTTGTATTTTTCTATAAAGTTGTCCATTTCTTCTAGGTTATCTGGTTTGTAACCATATAATTTTTCATAGTATTCTATCATAATTCTTTGTATTTCTGTGGTGTCCGTACTGATTTTTCCTTTCTCACTTCTGATTCTGTTTATGTGCGGACTCTTTTTTTCTTGATAAGTCTGCCTAGGAGTTTTACTATTGTTTATTTTAAGAACCAACTGCTGCTCTCATTGATTCTTTCTTTTGTTTTATTCTTTTCAATTTTATTTATTTCTGCTCTAATCTTTATTATGTCCCTCCTTCTTTCCCCCTTTAATTTTCTTAGTATTTGTTTCACATATGAAGGTGATCCTGTGTTAGGTGCATAGATATTTATAAGTTATATTATATCCTCTTGTTGGACTGACCCCTTTATCATTATGTAATGTCCTTCTTTGTTTTGAAGTCTTTTTTTCCTGATACAAGTACTGTAACTCCTGCTTTTTTCTCCCTATTAGTTGCATGAAATATCTTTTTCCATCCCTTCACTTTCAGTCTGTGTATGTCTTTGGGTTTGAAGTGAGTCTCTTGTAGGCAGCATATAGAGAAGTCTTTTTTTATCCAATCAGTGACTCTGTGTCTTTTGATTGGTGCATTCAGGCAATTTACATTTAGGGTGATTATTGATAGCTTTGTACTTATTGCCATTACAGGCTTTAGATTCATGGTTACCAAGTGTTCAAGGGTAATTCCCTTATTTAATAGTCTAACTTGGTATGCTATTACAAAGACAACCTAAAGGTTCTTTTTTTTTCCTCCTTTTTCTTCCTCCTCTGTTTTTTATATATTACATATCATACTCTTTACTCTTTGTCTATCCCTTGATTGACTTTGGGGGTAGCTGATTTAATTTTGCATCTACTTAGTAATTAATTGTTCTATTTTGCTGTGGTTTTATTTCCTCTGGTGACTGCTATTAAACCTTAGGAACATTCCATCAATAGCAGTCACTCCAAAATGCACTGTAGAGGTGGTTTGTGGGTGGTAAATTCTTTCACCTTTTGCTTATCTGAAAATTGTTTAATCCCTCCTTCAAATTTAAATGATAACCGTGCCAGGTAGAGTATTCTCGGATTGAAGCCCTTCTGTTTCATTGCATTAAGTATATCATGCCACTCCCTTCTGGCCTATAAGGTTTCTGTTGAGAAGTCTGATGATAGCCTGATGGGCCTTCCTTTGTATGTGAGCTTATTTCTCTCTCTGGCTGCTTTTAATAGTCTGTCCTTATGCTTGATCTTTGCAGTTCTAGTTACTATATGTCTTGGTGTTGTCTTCCTTGGGTCCCTTGTGTTGGGAGATCTGTGTACCTCCATGGCCTGAGAGACTATCTCCTTCCTCAGATTGGGGGAAGTTTTCAGTAATTACTTCCTCAAAGACACTTTCTATCCCTTTTTTCTCTCTTCTTCTTCTTCTGGTACCCCTATAATGCAAATATTGTTCCATTTGGATTGGTCACATAGTTCTCTCAATATTCTTTCTTTCTTAGAGATCCTTTTTTCTCTCTGTGCCTCAGCTCCTTTGTATTCCTCTTCTCTAATTTCTATTCCATTTACTGTCTCTTCTACTATATCTAATCTGCTTTTAAGTCCCTCCATTGTATGTTGCATTTCAGATACGGAATTTCTTAATGATTGAATCTCCGTCCTAAATTTGTCCCTGAGTTCTTGAATATTTTTCTATACTTCCATGAGCATGTTTGTGATTTTTATTTTGAACTCTCAGGAAGATTGGTGAGTTGTTTCATTTGGTCCTTTTTCTCAGGTTTTTGAGATTTGGGTCTGAACCAGGTTCCTTTGACATTTCATGTTTCTATGTGGCACCCTCTAGTGCTCAGAACTCTAGTCTCTAGAGCTGCTCAGCCCCTAGAGTGAGGTCAGGGGTCACAGGGGAGTGACTCTAGTGCCTGGGGGGAATAAAGAGGTGTTTCCTACTTCCCAGCTGCAGTGCCTCTCTCCACTGTCAGAGCCAGTGGGGTTAGCACACAGGTGTAAGCCTTTGTGCCTTGCGTCTGTAGCTGTCATAGGTGGGGCCTCCGTCTGGCTGGCCTGACGCCAGGGGCAGTGAGTGCTGGTTTGCGAGACAGTGGGTTGCATATCACAGTGGGGGGCCTTGGAGCTAAGTAGACAGCCACGGGGATAGAGTGCCTGAAGCCCCTGAAAGTTCCCAGCCTGCTGGGCAGAATGCACCCAGAAAACCTTGTTCACTTATCCCTTCTCCCATGCAGCAAGCTCTGCAAACCTCACCTCTTCAGCAGCCCTCTTGCTGCTAGGAAGCCTCTCAGACCACCCACCTTTCCTTTGTCCCTGCGCGGCCAGATGTGGGCCCCCGTCCACAAATGACTGGAAGCTCAGTCTCTTCAAGCACTCTACCTGTCCTAGGTTTCTAACTCCACTAATCTCCAGACCACCATGCAATGTAGATCTGTGCTCCCAAATCAGATCTCCAGGGCTGGTTGTTCAGCAGTCCTAGGCTTTCACCCACTACCCGCACTGTTTCTCTTCCTCCTGCAGGTGAGCTGGGGTGGGGAAGGGTTTGGGTCCTGCCAGATCAAGGCTTTAGTAAGTTATTACCCTGTTTTGTGAGATCTACTCTCTTCTCCAAGTGTATGAAGTCTAGTGCATCCTTCTTCCCTGTTGCTCTTTTAGAATTAGTTGTATTAACTATATTTTCATATTATAGTGGTTTTGGGAGGACTTCTCTGTCTCACTTCTCACGCCGCTGTCTTGAATCAATCCGCCCCAAAGAATTTAATCAAATTACGGTGCTACCAGCAATACAATAATGAAAATTAGTAGTTTTTAAGGCTTGTTACAAATGAAGAAACAATGTGCTGAACTTAAAATATATTGGTATGTAACATAATTAATTAGAAACAATACATTGCTCCATCATCACTACTAATTTTTGTAAACAATCTTTTAGTAGTACAAGTATTTTTTACTATTGAGCATTAATTTAAATGAGTTATTTTACTATTTGCTATTATAATTCCATGAGTTCCAGCAGTAGTCAGCTGTCCGGACAGAACCATTCCTGTGATGGTGTTACACTGCTGGGAGAGGAATGTCCTGTCTTTTTCCTCCAGTTGCCTCTGTCACTGTTCTGGTGGCATCAGGCACGGTATAAGGCAGAACTGTGCTTCCTTGAGAGTGTGCTAAGCATTCACTTTGACTGCTTAGTTCTAGTCTGGGAGCAGACATAGGGTGATTGCTCTGTATTCTAGACAGCTTTTTCCTTCTTTTGAGTATTTACTTCAATTCTGCTTTGTATTCTATAACATTCCATGCTTTGATTCTACTTAATATTGTAAGTATATACCCCATGTTTTACATAGATCAGTTTCTGTAACGTTTATGAAATACATTGCAGGCTGTCTTTCAGTCTTTATGTATTTAATAATGAGTATTTTCCTTACTCATTCCTTAAAAATTTGGGAGGTTTTAACCTAACCTTCATTTATGTTTACATAAAGTAAAAGCCATCCTTAATGAATTCTAAGGTATTAAGATAAGTTTTAAAGTTAAGAAAACTTTGTTGGATTTATACATTTTAAACAGCTATAATTACGGTTTTTCAAATTACTAGAGGAATAATGACTCTAAATACAGATTCTTTTTCTTTCTGCCCTGGTAGGATTTTGAATATGGTGACTAGGCAAGGGGCACTTTGGGCTAATACTCTAGGTTCTCTGGGTAAGTAGAGATCTCACTTGATAATAAATAATCAATGCAAGGAAGAAATGTGCATGTATCATGAACAATTTGATCAACTAAAATTCTGGTCCTAGGATACTAAAACTATGATTAAATCTACTTTGCTGAGTAGGGTAGGTAACTGCTTAGGAAAAAACCATGAATACCTAAAAAAATAATCCCAGGTGCAAATAACATTGTGAATAACATTTCAGAATGTTTTAGACCTTTTAAATACTACATAGTCTCCTAAGGAGTATAATAAATAAAATCATCTTTTAACCAAATGAAATCCACATAATTCAGGTCCAAGACATATGGCTTTGTGTGTTAAGAAAGGTTCAAGGTCCTGTAGTAAGATATGATAGATTAATCCAGCCCTTTTGCTATGTTTTTCTAATAGCTCATTTAGCACTCCTTTTACATGAGTACATTTCCCAGACTTAATTACCAGAATTGCTATAGGGCCTTTGTAGACAGTGAAAACATTTGCAGTTCTAAGGGGTCAATTTAAGGTACTTAGGACCAAATGTTTTCATACCAACTGTTCATGATTCATACTATTGACTTCTGATTACTCATGACTTCTGATTACTCATGACTGCTTGTGGCATTAATGCCATAACATCCAAGGTTTTCTTTGTAACTTAGTTGAAAGTCTGCAAGTATTTTAATTGTGCCAGATTCAGTAAGGGAAATGTTGGCATCTCACTGAAAAGATAGAAAAAGTCTCCATTGGAACAGTCAGATCCTAGCCTTGTCATGGGATTTGAAAGCAGTACATTTTCACACTGTAAATTCATATTCACATTTGGGATCCTAGTAAATGGCTGATTCCATATGCTGCTCATGCCCCTTCCCCATCCCCATACACAGTCACCCTCTTTTGTTTTGTTTGATTGCTTATATACCTGGAGTAATCAGCCATCCTGGTCTGCCCAGGACTTTCTCAGTTTTAACACTGCAAGTTTCATGTTCCAGGAAACCTTCAGTAATATGTTGAAACAGAAGAGCCTTTACTGAAGTGTAAAAACATCACAACAGGGAAGTTATGAGTCTGAATTTGGAATAATGTTGAGGGGTCAAATCTCACTAATTTTAAGAAAGGGTAAGGAACAGGATTAATGCATTCATGGCTAGCACGATTCTTTACAGGGATAGGAGAAGGGTAGTTTGGGGAAAGATCTTGTTAAAACTAAATAGTGCTAACTATTAACAGTTTTTACATGTCCTGGAACCAAACCTCAAATTTGTAAGTTACATTTTTCTTACAGTAGAAAAATCATGTGGTTTGGTTTTTGTTTCTAAATCCAAAATACAGCTATTATGAATAAAATAAACAGGTAAAAATGGAAGGAATATATTCTTCCTGGGACTCTTCAGTGGTACTTTCCATAGTCACTATTAATGTTTCTTCCGATCTTTCCAGAAATTTTCTTTGTATATCCAGAGTTGTGCCCATGTACCTTTTACATTATTAGTTAAAGTAGCGTAGCTCTTTCTGCTTTTTGTTTCAAGAGTATACATAGTAATCCATTATATGGGAAGTAATATAATGACTTTGTGGATTAGTCCCCATTTGATGGGTGGGCATTTAATTTTTTGCCAGGCTTTTGCTATGACATACTGCTCTGGTGATCATTCTTTATATATCTTTGAATACTTAATAGAATGCTATCTGTAGGATACATTTGTCTTAAATATAATTATCATATTGACTATCAGTCACTTTTTTATTACTGATCAGTTGCATTTCCCCTGTAGCTTTGCTCTATAGCGCATTTGGTGTTGTCATTGAGAAAACACGAGGTGCAGAAGATGACCTCAACACAGTAGCAGCTGGTACCCTGACAGGCATGTTGTATAAATGTCCAGGTAGGCACTGCTGAGTGAAAAGCTATCTCTTACTACATTTGAAGTATGCTTTTTATCCATGTTTCAAAGAAAACTTTATTCATTTTTTGCAGTATAACCTAATGTTCTCTGAAACCTTATCATTGTTTTGGGTTTTGTTTTGACTTTTTCTTACTTAGTAAAATACACAAAATTAATCTTCTGAACCACTTTTTAAGTGTACAGTTCAGCGATGTTAAGTGTATTTATATTATTGTGCAGCCATCACCACCATCCATCTCAAGAACTTTGCTTCATCTTGCAAAACTGAAACTGTGTACCTATTAAACAGCAGGCATCCATTTCCTCCTTCCTCCAGCCCCTTACCATCTACTTACCATCTCTATTAGTTTGACTACTTTAAGTACCTCATGTTAGTGGAATCCCATAGTGTTTGTCTTTGTGCTGGCTTATTTCACCTAGCATAATGTCTCCAGGGTTCATCTATGTGGTAGCATATATCAGAATTCCCTTTTTAAGGCTGAAAATTCTGTGTTATACATATATACCACAATTTTTTTATCCATTCGTCTGCCAGTGGACACTTGGGCTGCTTTCAACTTTGGCTACTGTGAATAATGCTGTTATGAATATGAGTGAACGAAATACCATTCAGGTTTGAAAAGTAAAACCCTAAGAGTTGAGCCAAAATGATCTGGTGAAGATCAAATATCAAATTCTCCTGTAAGATGAGGAAGAAATTAACATTCACTAAGTTATGACTATACCCTCAGCTATAAGCACTTAATATAACTTGCTTTATTTGAAAGTATGAAGTGATGATCATCAGACCCCAGTTTTATTGATGAGCATAGTATTAAGATGACTTCTTAGAAAAGGTCACGTAACTAGTGACAGTCTAAAATTTTTCATCACATTTCTGTTTTAAATAGCTTAATTACACCACATATGTTCTGTATTCATACCTCTGAAAAGTACTTTAGTTTGATTGCTTTATTATAAATTAATTGCTGAATTATGCATATTATGCAATAAACTTTATTTATGCATTAAATACTTGATTAACTAATTCTGTTTTTTAGTAACATCACAAATACCAGGTAGCATTTTTGCTTAATTTTTATGAAAGAGAAATCTCAACAGGATTATAAAATCCAAGATTTCCTGATATCTGAGAGTAAGAGGCTTTTTCTGTAGTGAAAGTAGATTGGATTTGGAATTTTATTCCAAAGAGCTCACAGTACATTTTGCAACACATGCATATGTGTACACACATAAACAGAGCTCCCAGGTGCAGACAGAAATACCTTTTATGTCCATGCTACTCTTACTTTGGCATAGAAAAAACCTTAAAAACCTAAAAATACTTTACACTGAAAATCTTTAGGGTCAGACAAAAGAATTTAAAACTAATTGGTAGCACAAAGGTGGCCCTCAGCCAGCAAGAGTTTAGTTGACCCAAACTGTGTTTACAAAAGAATAAGTTTTTTAAAAACAGGAGATTTCACACAAAACTTTAAAATTCCATCTTCTTTTGAATAAATGGAAGACACCAAGCTTATATTATGCATGGTGGCAAATGGCTAGATGGGAGCTGCTTCTGCCCAGTGGATGGGCACAAAAGCTCTAGCACAGTCCCCCCACTCCCATTTTCTTGCCTTTCTTTTTATTGAAGTATCGTTTATAAACAACCTTATATTGATTTCAGATGCACAACACAGTGGTTCAGCAGTTACCCATATTAAATCTGCACCCCCTTTAGTGCTGTTACTATCTGTCAACACAGAAAGATGTTAGAGTCATTGTGTTCTCCATGCTGTACTACTATCCCTGTGACCAACTTATGTTAGATTGTGAATTATTGTACCCCTTTATCTCCCTCACCCTCTCCTCCTACACACTCCAACCTCTCTTTCATGGCAGCCACCAGTCACATCTCGGTGTCTATATTAGTCTTCTGCTGCTTTGTTCATTCTGTTTTTCTTTGTTTTTGTATCTCACAAGTAAGTGACATCATACACTGCCTGCCTTGTTTCACTTAGCATAATAACGTCTAAATCCATCCATTCCATATTGTTGCAAATGGCAGGATTTTTTTAATGGCTGAATAATACTCTATTGTGTATATGTACCACCTCTTCTTTATCCATTCATCTATTGATGGACATTTAGGTTGCTTCCATATCTTGGCCATTGTAAATCATGTGGCAGTAAACATAGGGGTACATGTATCTTCTCAAATCTGGGATTTTGTTTTCTTTGGGTAAATTCCTAGAAGTGGTATTTCTTAGTCATATGGTATTTCTATTTCCAGTTTTTTGAGGAACCTCCATACTACTTTCCAGTGGCTGCACCAATTGACATTCCCACCAACAGTGTAGAAGGGTTCCCTTTTTTCCACATGCTTGCCAACGCTTGTCATGTCTCATCTTTTGGATAGTGGCCATTCTACCTGGTGTCAGGTGATATCTCATTGAGGTTTTGATTTGCATTTCCATGATGATTAGCTGTGTCACTCCCCTTTTAGTTTTCTTACTCAAGATCAAGACATACATATTTAAAAAAAAGAAAAGTGTGACTACTTGACATTGAAAAAATACACATCTCACATTCTGTGTCAAGGATTTCTGTGCAGTAATAGCATTTATAGCACAGCCTGGGCCACTCCAACATTAATTATAGGAGAGAAAGCAAAAAAGAATATCCATCGATTCTATGTTATAAGACAAGTAGGTTCTAGTTTCCATTGCGACTGTGGAACATAGAGGAGGGAATTCATTTACTGACCAGAATTCCAGCACTGGTTCATTGATTTCTGGCTTAGAATAAATTTCAGACAGAGCACAGAATTATGAATTTTGTGTTAGGAGTGCAAATATTACTTCAACTTCCATATTCTTGGATTTGGAAGTGGAAGAGAGCTCAAGCATCCTTTAGTCTGAAGCCAGCATAAACCATTAAGAAAAGAAGTTTACATTTAGGGAATGGCTAATTCCTGCCAACCTAAAATATCTCCAATCCCCAATACTCTTCAAAAATAGAAATTAAAAACAAAAAATATGTTAAGAATAAAAGCAGGATGACTCAACTTAGGTTGGTGCTACTTTAATAGAAAGAAAAATCTTAAGGAGAAAATACATGAGAAAGTGGGTGATTGTCACACAGAAAACAGGCTAAGTTAAAGGAATGATTCTGATTATATGATTTTAGTTCAGATCTAATGCTTCTTTAATGAACTATGTAAATGTTTTTCAGAAGGTGTGAAGTGTCATAGATTTTCTGTGGCATATGAAAATCTGTTTAATAATGACTGTACTGTCACATGGTATGGGAGATCATGGGGAAAACAGTGTAGCACAGAGAAGGCAAATAGTGAATCTGTGGCATCTTACTACACTGATGGACAGTGACTGCATTGGGGTATGGGTGGGGACTTGATAATATGGGTAAATGTAATAACCACATTGTTTTTTCGTGTGAAACCTTCATAAGAGTGTATATCTATAATACCTTTATAAAAAATTTAAAAAATAAAACATAAAAAATATGACTGTACTCTCCCAGCACAAGAACAACTGCAGTTTGCTATCATTTCTGAACTCAGGAGTGTTGAAGAGACTTGGTCACTTGACTTAAGGAAACAAGGCCTTAGAAACTGAAAGATATGATCTCCCATTCCCCCTTGCCAAAAAAATCCCTGGCCTCTTAATCCAGTGCATTCTATAAAAAATCATCTTATAAAAGCAAACTAAGCCAAAGGGTGTACAAATTCAGTTCTTCAAATTAAGCAATTTGCATCAGGATTGTTGTTGAAAGGTACTGTTTGAATGAATGCCAGCCAGCTCTTCCCATTGAATTCTACTTCTTTCAGTAGAATTAAACTCTGTATGCCAAAAAGAGCCCCTTGATGACTCCTGTATTTCCATTACTGGCTTCAACATTCTTCCCGAAAATTTAAAGTGCATGCAACATATGTAATAGGCCAAGGGCTAACTGCCATAATATATAAATTATTTCAATAAATCACTGAAACCAACAACCCGAGAAAATGAAGTAAGGATTTAACAAAGCACTTTGGGGGAAAATACAAATGGCCACTAAACAATAGAAATTGCTTGGTCTGACAAGCAGCCAAAGAAGAGCAAAATAAAACATTAAGATAATATTTTTCACCAGCTTGCTTTAAAAAAAGTGGTGGTAGATGACATTTAATACTGGCAAAGGTAAGCAAGTTCTTTGTAGGGCAGTTTGGCCTTAGTTATTAATATTTTAAATGTGTAGGTCCTTTGCTCAAGTAATCTAAGTTTCAGCAGTTTATCCTATAGCAGACTAAGGCATATGTGCAAAACTGTATTTACTAAGGTGTTTCAAGACAGGCTTCAATGAGAAGGAGATATTTGAACTATCTTGATGTAAAATTATGTATATGGACTTGGATAAAAATAAAAATTAAAGACACAGGCTTCAATGAGAAGGAGATATTTGAACAAAAAGAGATGATGGAGCATGTGAGGTGGATGTCTGAAAGGAACAATTAAGATAAATGTAACAGTAAGAACAGAGGCCCTGAGGTAGGAGTTAAAAGGCAATGGAAAGAGCAGTAGAATTCTGAAGTCATGAAAAGTGTCAAGGACCAAGCCATGCAGAAGCTAGAGCTTTCTGGGCCATTGTAAAGCACTTGACTCAGCTGGACTTTAATTCTTACCTTCTAATGCCAGTATTTCCATTTATTTATAAGCCTTAAATTGTTCATTGTAACTTCCAGAGAGTTAAACTTTCACCCATCTGTGCTGGGTGCAGAGTTTATACAAGGAGATGTTAAGGCAGAGTTTATGAACCCTCTCAATTTTCCATAAGATTTTCAGAGGGGTCTGGGATACTCCATAACCACCCCCAGGAAAGCAGCACCCCAAAAGACTTTAGAATTTGGCAAAAGGACACTATCACATAGGGAGTCAGAAACAACAGATATTTTAGTGAGCTTAGTTTTGCATGGAAGAACTGAGATTGCAACGGGTGGGTGACTGGGGCAGTGATGAGGGAAGCCCAGGAAAGCTAGCTGCTGTGCTGCTCAGTATCACTCATACCACCCCACTCTATAGCAGAGCACAGAAGGGAAAAACAATGAAGCATGAAACAGCCTTCTTGTGACCCAGTCACCTTTAGTTGGTACCTTTCTCCACTGTCCCCCCATCTCATCAGTAGTGAAATTCTCCTGAGTTCAGGCCCTTATCACAAGCCCTGAACTTCTGTAACACTATTTTTCATTGATCATTTTGACTTTAAGCTTCTACCTCTAATCTTTTACCTACTCTTTCTAGCTTAATCTCCCTTAGAGGTGGTTCTGATTCTAATACTCCCTCTACAAAAACTTTTGATGATGACACACTGCCTTTAAAACAATTTAAATGTCTCATCCTTGCATTTCATGCTCTAATCCTAGCCTATCTTTCCAGGCTTGCCTTCTATACCTTCCTTATGCATCTCATGACCAAACATAAATTTAAAATCCAATCCATCCTTAAGACCAAGCTCAACTGTTGTTATCCCTTTTAGGAAATTTCCCTGATTTCTCCTTTATCCCAAAGGCAGTTTGGTATGGTGAAGACAGTGTGCTTTGGACTCAGACTGGGTTTGACTTCATTAGCATTAGGTCACTAAACAGCTGCATGAATGAGAATAATTTGTCTGAATTTCAGTTTTTGTCTATAATGCCAGGTGACCTCTCTTCCCTTCATGGACTTACAAATGAAATAACTTATATAAAGCCAGTGAATTCTTTTCTGCCATAAGCATGTTTTGTATAATTCTGACAAGACTTAGCACAGTTTTCCTAGTAGGAAATCAACAGATGATATTGACAAGTGAAAAATGAAGGAAATAGTGAGATAGTCATGCTACTTAGAAACATGAAGGTAAAAAGCAAAGAATTGTAGTAGTTGCCCTGGGAAACTAGGAATTAGGGGGATGATGGTGAGTGTACCAGACTGTTCTGCATCACTAAAATCCTTAGTACTATCTTGACGTAAAATTATGTATATGGACTTGGATAAAAATTAAAGACATATATATCAATATAATAAAAAAAATTTTTAAGTAGGCATTAGATTGCAAGGGGGAGGAGGCAATTATTCTGAAATGGGGATACAATGGGGAGGGGGCAATTATTCTGAAATGGGGATACAACTTCAGTTTTGCAAGATGAGAGTTCCCTAGAGATGGTGGTGATGGTAGCATAACGATGCCAATATATTTAATGCCAATATGTTATAATTAAGTGTACTGCATTGTACACTTAAATATGGTAAATTTTGTTACATGTATTTTACCACAATGTTTAAAAACAATAAATTTAACGAAAATTCTAAGGTTAACAGTGCAAAAAATGTTGAATCGTGTCTAGAAGCCATCTCAGTGTGTCGGTAATGCTATTTCTGTAAACCACTGGTCTTTCTGGGGTCTGTCTGTTCACTGCCTGCAGGCTAAGAATTTTTTACATTTTTAGATAGTTAGAAATTAAATGGATATATAAGTACCAACATGATATATAGCCTTTTTACCTTTTTCAAAGCCTAAAATGTTTACTTTCTGGCTGTTTTAAGAAATATTTGCTAATCCCTGCTCTAAAGTAATCATCATCTAAACATGTTAGTTCTGACACTAATCAGCCTTGTACCTCACAAATAAGGTACTTAAATATTCTGTGCATTTTCCCATGTTTAGAAGAGGTAATATTTGCCCTTTCTGCAAGAGTTGCATAAGGACCCAAAAGATAAGAGGGTAAAGCTGTGCAATACATGTCTGGTGTCACATTTGTTTTGCTTTTATTTTATAGGTTGACCATTGGTCTTATTTGGTAACTCTGTGTTCAGACCCAGTGTGTTTGCTCATCAATTTCCTGAGCTTAGTTGGGCAAAAGCTGTTTGATTACAGAAAGCCTACAACCCAGGCCCTCAGACTTTTTTAACGTATCAACCAATTTGGAAACCCTGGAATTAATAGAGTTAAAAATAAAATGTGGCTGGTATAGGATAAAAGGCTACCCTTAAGTCAGGATTAACTGTGCTTAATAAATCAAACACTGCATATGCTTGGGCTGTGCTTGCTGGAAATAACATTTTTCTAGCCTTCAAAGAAGTAACTTCACTAATTTGAGCGAAGTTTGTTTCATTTTGGTCAAAAAGTAGAAAGCTTTCTGGGGGATAAATTACTCTTAAGGAGCACTTAATGCGCCACTGACGTCCCAAAGATCTTAAAGCCTTTATAGTTCCTAATTTCATTGTTAATCCTAGGCCCTAAGGCCTGTGTCTGGGGAGACTTGTTATTTGACAGGTGAGAAATAGTGTGCAAATCCCTCCAAAGGACCAAGTAGAAACCATGTTCTTCTGACACTCTAAGGGCCAATGGGAAGGAATGGTTTGCAACTATTTCCCCACCAGTGGGCAGAGTTCAGAGTCCTGTGGCTCTAATAGACTAAAGGTCCAGAAGCGTTAGTCTGAAGTTGAATGTTTAATCCCAGGAAATAGTGTCACTGGAATTGTGTTTTCAATTACCTGCCTTCCATCATTTTTCTAATAATAAAGAGCAGTGAGGCCACTTTAGCTTTTGCTTTGTTTTGTTGACTCAGAATGGAGTATTATATGTTTGTAACCTGCTTGAAAGAAATCTCATTACACTTGAAGTTTAGATCTAATAACTGAACCATACCAGTGCTGTTGCAAATAGCTTAGCATTTATTTATTCTCCTGTGCTTCGTAGTTTATTTTTTCTATTTTAAAAATTTGGTCTAATTATAGTTAACTCTCAGCCCCTAAAACCTTTTATTGACTTACTGGTTGAATGCATGAAGTAGATTGTTGTTAAAGTGTGTAAACTGTCTTAAGTTAGCAGATTGATTATACCTTTTATAGTTTTTCAACCACATCAAATACAGCTGCAAACTCAGTTGCCATGCCTAGTATAAATATAGCAAGAAGAGATGATATGGACTTCAAGGAGGTATCTCATTTACCGTGATTAATTTTTTTTAATGTTTCTGATCACCTTTCCCCATATTTCACAGTTGTTTATGATGATATCTAGTTTCTATGTGGGTCTGTTTGAGAAAGATAATTAGGACACATCAAAGTGGAAGCCTAAGCAGGTCAGTTATCAGAGGTCTTCAGACAAGAGAGGCTTCTGGAGGGAGTGGCCCTTTAACCTATCAGCTGAAACCGTCTGGCAGGACAGTCATCGCAGGAATGGTTGGTCTAAGTGTTTAACTCAGCAGCATCAGTGAATTTCACAGAATTTACTTGCTCAGAGCTAAAGAGCCTAAGTAAACCACAGGACCACAACTCCATTCCACCTCTGCCTTCCTAACCCATGACTTGGAACAAGTACTTCATAGGTACAGGATAAGTACAGACTACCTCAAGTCTGTGGTCCCTACTTGTTTGTGCAACATCAAGTACTTACTAAGTTTGAGTACCCTTATTCCCCTTTTTAGACCTGAGGACTCTTCAGATAACTGGTTGAAACATTTTTGTTTCTGCATTTCAAGGGAGATACCTATTGCTATTCTTTTTCCACAAGAAAAATGATTCATTGTTAAGCAAAAATACTTAACAATTTTCAGGTAGTATGATCAGTCAAATATTATGATTCTAAGTGCCTTATCACTCATTAGTTGTGGGGGATAAGATGTATGACACATCAGTGTAGGAATGGGGTTGATGCTGCATCAGCACCTAACCCAACTCAAAGCTGGATTATAGCCATTTTATTATCACTTTTTGAGTCTCAAAGTTACTATCTGGAGGGCCTGTTCAGAGTCCAAAGGCTGTTGAAAGTGTTTACAGAGGGTGTCACCTTGTTTATGTTACAGCCTTACATCAGTTGATGGTGCCAGTGAAGTTCTAAATTATGTAACTAACAGGAAATAAGTAAGATCTGCTTGGAACTTCAATAATAAGCATAAGCTCTTGTCCAAAAGTAGGAACAAGTCAGATTGAGAAAAATCAAGAAAGTACTTATGCTGATTATCTTTAGGTGCAAACTGTGAAATTAGAAGTGGGAAAAGGTGAATCTGAAAATACAGGTATTAAACAAGTGATTTAGGAAATTTCTCTCCTGAACTTGTTCTGGTCTCTTATTTTTTAAACTTATGTTACCCTGTTTCAGGTAGAGTATTTATAAACATGAGTGGTGTGTCTCAGTCTTATGATACTTATTTTTAACTCTGATGATAGGACACTATGTAATGCAAGGCTGTTTTTTTTTCCCTGTCAGGTGGCCTCCGAGGGGTAGCACGAGGTGGTCTAGCAGGACTAACACTTACCAGCCTCTATGCACTCTATAACAACTGGGAGCACATGAAAGGCTCTTTTCTCCAACAGTCACTCTGAAGATTTTTCCAGCTTATGAATGGAGGAGGACACTTTTGTCATCATCCAGACCTATTTATAAATCAGTCTGGAGTTATTCTCTCTTCTGCCTACAATTAGTTTGAAAAATTGGAGATTCCAGTTCTCTGTGAAGATCACGGATGGTTGACCAGCCTGGTGCTCCTTCCAGCCACTAATGAGTTGAAGCCAAAACCCTTTGGTGGCCGAGTAACATGGTTCTCTTTCCTTTGAAGATCTTGAACCTGTTCACGCCTATCCCCTGAACTGGAAAACCACTTATTCCCAGAATTCACGTCATGATTGTTGTCAATACTGTATCACATTTGTTCATTTAATGATCCAAAACTATAATATGCCCTGTATTCCCAATAAAGGGTGAAAATAGAGCCAAAGTCAGTACTCCAATGTAAACATAATGGTTTTCTTCATTTAAAGGTATCTTTCTGGATATAAAGTGAAAGTAACTGTTGGAGTATTTTTCTGCCCCAGCTAGGCTAAAACATGTTATCTCATGTTTGAGGTAAAAAGCAGCTGGGTTAAAATTTTTCTCCAATAGAATTGACACTAAGCCACCTCAGGATATTTTACATTAACCATTATACCATTAGAGTAGTGTGCTAGAACAGTCTGTCCAACAATCATGCTCAATTCTGTACACATTAACTCATTCCTTACCAGGGGTAATGAGAAAAAGATGAAATAGACAAAAGCTGTAAGTTTTTGAGGAAACTTTGGGAAAGCTAAAGGAAATAAAGGCAAGTTGTTTATTTGCTGAGTTTGTTTTCTCATCTATGAAATGAAATAAAACTGCACTGTAGGTTATACAAAAACTAATAATAGACAACTGGTGGTTATTATGATTAGAAAAAGTAAGGATAGGGCCTTTTTGGATGCATCGAGTAAGAAAAAATTTGGTACAAAAGTACTGAAGTCCTCAGTAAAAAAAAAAGTTTAATATGTTTCATCTGCAACTGTGCAAATTTAAAGTAGATGGAGTTTGCAAGAAAGGAATAAAAGTGGAAGGTAGTAGTATACCTATTCTTTGCTAATTTGAGATTCCTAAATTACACTGGTATTTTAAGTGAATATAAAAGCAATTTTTTTTCATATTCAAGTTGTTTCTCAGCTGTACTTCTAACCAAAGATTATCACCTTTACCAGGATAAACATTTTGTGATGACGTAGTTTTCACACACACACACATGACAACTATGGCTGATACGCTTTTAATGGAAGGAGGTACAAAATGCATCAATGCAAAAGAATGTTTTATATAATCATTAGCATAGTGATTAATGTAAATTTAGGAATAAACTGTTAAAACCTCAAAAACTACAAAGTTTCCTGCAATCTAAGATAATGGAAAGGCTCAAGTTTTTACCTGCCACCTCATCAAAGTTCTAAACGGTACCTAAGGAGGCTAAAAAATAATAGGAGGCTCTTTTGGCTGTGGTTCTAGAAGCTGTATGGCAATGACCATGTGAAACTTAACTTTTCCTAAAAGGGCTTTCTAGATGACCACATCACAAACTTTAAAAGTATTTCCAATAACATATAAGCAGGTTGAGTGGCTTAATAGTTTAGCAGCTAAGGTCTCAGAGAATTAAAAAACATTACAAATCTCATTTCTCTTCTACCGAGAAACATTTTAAAGCATGGACAAGATTTTAAGGTTGAGAAAACAGTAATTCCCATAAAGCTTCAATAAAACACCCCAAGGCACAAGTGTTCAAACAGCCTGTTCACAAAAATGTCACTGTATTATACTTAGAGAGGTATAGGTATGCTATGCTTGCAGTGAGAGCACATTTAATTCATCCCTAGTAAAAGCACCAGGTGTCCAGCTCAGCTTCCATTTACACAGGATGCACCAACTCTTAGGACAGTGAATAGTTCAAGTACTACATTTCCAACATGTCTTGCCTTTTGCGCTTTGATTAGTTGGCACTGGCATTTTTTGCCAGTAGTTCTTCAGTATATTCTGAAAGATGGCTAAGACTACCCTGAATATAGTTTCGGAAGTAATGAGCCTTTGTAAAAGAGCTCACTAGATACTTTAGAGAAGGGAAGAAGACAAAATTTGCAACAGCTGAACTTCTTTCAAAAGAAGAAAAATAATGAAGACTCTAACATGTAGGCTAAAATGTTCTATGATTAATGTCAAAAACTGCTGAGATTGTTAATACACATTTTGGTAAGAAAAAATACTATATTGGGAAAACTATTTGTGTGAAACATACTATATATTAGTTGAAAAGAAGAATAATTTCCACCACTAATGGAAGAAAACCCACAGCAAGGGAAGCATCTAAAGGCAATCAAAAAGTTACGGAAGTTTACTAACTCTAGAATACATCAACATCAATACATCTTGATTACAGAACTATTCGATTTTTAAGACAATGGTAACAACCCAATCTAAGAGCCACAGAGGCTATGAAAAAGACTATCCACCAAGATGCTGTGTTTCTAGTGTAGGGATGAATTAATACTTCTGTAAGAAGGAACTGTATCACCTCAGCATCAACAGCCTTCTTTGTTTACACAGTAACTCATAATACGATAATTAATTTCACTAATTCAAAATTAGGCAGGAAAGGAACTAAGCTGACTGATCAGACCCAGAAATAATGATTTGGCAAGCCGCAGACACTCGGCTCATTGATGTATGATAATTTGCAGAAAAGCTGCTTGACTCCAGTACTCCATTCCTTCACATCTGTAAAGGAAAGCCCACAGGTAAAAAAAAGTCACTTCAGTGTAGGATCAAAGCACATTTCTCCCCACCCTTAAAGCTCTCATTTTTCAGTAAGCTATTATAATCTACACAGGCTCTGAAAATACTCCCGACAGCTCTATCATCTTGAAAGGTCACTTTAAAGTATGTCCTAGTCATTTCATAACACAAGTTCAAGTGAAATATATAAAATTTTTATGATCTCTTCCCCATCCTCACTTGCCTAATATACATACCATTAATGGGAATATGGTTCAATGCATAAAGTATGAATTCCTGTATAAGATGAAACATTTTAAGCTGCTAAATCTAACATTTACACGATGGGCATGTACCTACCTGTAGAGGAGTTCGATACAACCACTTTTCTTTATCAACTTTAAGCTGCATACAAGCAAAGAGATCACAAACTGCTGGCAGGCCATATCGGTCTGGGGGAAAGTTATGTTCCTCCTGTAAAGGTGAATTAAGTAATACTTCCTGCAAGACAAAAAGGGTGGGTTGCTATATAAACTGGGAGTCATAAGACCAACTTATTTTCCAAATACAAAGTGTCTATAAAAAATAATGTAAATGTTGGCCATTCTAATAAAAGTGAAGGTGACAACTGTTTAATCTTTTCCATAAATAACAAACAGGCTGAGTTCCTTTCCTGCAGGATTTTTATAGTCATAAATTATTCATTCTGTTGCTAACATGGCACCAAAACTAATACTTAAGCCAAATTTAACATTTAACATATTTAAAGATCTGGCCCATTTGCAAGGTTTAGGATTAAGAAATTAAAAATCTAGTATTTCAAATGGTGCTATTTTGATGTTTGTGCTCACCTTGGCCTTTTTTCGAAGTAGCCACTTGTCTTCACCTGAGGATAACTGGCTGAGGTTTCCCATCTTCTTTCCTGGTAAGACCCAGTCAGCTGTGTTAAAGGGAAACCAGGAAGTGGCCGCAGGGTTCATAAGCTTTTGTTTGCCAGCTCTGTCCTCAGTACTAGGCACTTCCTTGGGAGATGCTTCTTTGCATGAGGGTGTGAAGAGCCACTCTGACAAGGGAGTGTTCCTTAAGACTTGGAAGGAATCATTAATTCTAGAAGGAGCCACTATCTTAGATGCCTGAGCTTGCTCTGTTGCCTTCTTCCTGGAAGGACAAAGCCACAAATTCAGGGAATCCATACACTGCTCAGGTGCAGGTTTTGGTTCCACAGGCATTCCATTTTTATCCTTTCCTTCTTTCTTCAGAAGCCATTTACACAGAGCTTCCTTCTCACAATTTTCATCACACACACACTCTGCAAAGCTTGTACAGGGCTCGTTGGCTTTGCATACTTCCTCTACTTTATATGGGTCATGATGGCTCTGGAGAAGCCAATCTCCAGTAATCATGCTGGGAGTGGACAAAGGTTTCTTGGCCTCCAAGTGGTCATTCAGGCACTTCAGATTGCCCAGATTTTCAATCTCCACACCTTTGGGCTGGTTGCCCCGACAATTGGTACAGGAATCAGTTTTAAAAAGCCAGTCATTCACACTGTAAGCCTCCTGGAACACCTTGAACAGAAGCTTAAACTTCTCACTGGCTTCACAGCTGCTATTGCCAGGCTTCTCCAGCTTATGGGATTCCTTGGGAGTCATCAGCCAGTCAGAAAGGTCCATCTCATCTTGATCAAGAAGCTCTAGATCTCCACCCTTTTCAATTTCAAAGGAGTAAGAATTGGGAGTGGAATAACTGTTAGACTTTTGGTAACTTGGTGTTTCAAGAACTTCTTGTGGACTCTTGTGGAGCCAATTTTCCAAGCCCGTTAGGTCACCCCAGATGTGACTGAAGAAACTGCAGCCTCTGGCAGAAGTCTGCACAAGAAGGAAAAGAATATTAGTTCACCAGGATATTATGACTGCTTTGGGATTCAACAACCTATGAGTTCTTGCATATTTACTCTCTGCCCAATGTTTCTAAACTTAAGTATAAAAAGCAAGGGACAAGAGATTTCTCTGTTGGGACAGTAAAAGACATTTGAGTACATAAAAATTTTAATTTTCTGCAGTTCAATATATTTGCCTTGAACTATATTAAAGGCAAACTAGAAGAAAGCATTTGTAGCATATTTGGTAGAAAAGAGTTCTATATAATATGCTTTTATGAATAAACACAAAAATGAAAGGATATAATTAGGCAAGTGATCAAAGAAAGCCAATAAACATGAAAAATACTCAACCTCCTTAGTAATCAAAGAAACAAAAAAATTGTTACTGTGTCAAATTCAGAGAGAAAAAGAAACATGATTATCACTGTAAATTTCAGGAAAGCAGGTATCCTCAATACTCCCCTGGTGAGACTATAAATTGGTACCAACTTCCTGGAAAGCCAAGTTGGCGATATGTATCAAAAGACACAGGGTATGCAGAACTGTAATCTAGGAATGCAATTCCTAGGAATTTACTCCTAAGGAACTAATCAACATTCACAAATAATTAGCTCCTGGATTTTTAGAAGTACTTTGTTTATATTCAGAAAAACTGGAGTTTAAGTTATAGCCAGTCAATGAAATATATACTATTAAAGATTTATGGAAGACATTAAATGACAGAGAAATATACCCATGCTTTATTAGTCAAAAAAACCTGCTAGCCAAAAAAGGATTTATAGAATGTTTTTTAATGTATGTATGCATAGAAAAATGCATGAACGAAAGTGTTACAGTGTTGTCTCCACATGTTGGGGTTATGAGTTTGTATTTCTTTTATAGTTCTTTAAAGTCTTCTAAACTTTCTATCTATAGTGAAGAGTTATCACTATAATAAAAAGTTGTTAGTTTCCAGACGAGAACTAAAAAATAAATGAAAACATACACTAGTACCTAACCACATCTACTACACTTAACTTCAGAAACAAAGGCAGCACAAACCTGACTGTTCTCCAAGGTCTGTTTTTGGGTGAGCCAGTCCTGGAGGTTGGTGCTTGGTATGTACAGAGCCTGACGACCATTGCCAGGCTTGCTTCCAAGGAGCCATTCGCTGAGATGGGCAGGTGTGGTGCTGGATGCTGACTTCTGCTAATCACATAATATACTTTGCTGCTTAATGAGGCAATGTCAAGTGCAGTCAAAAATTCACCAGAAAAGCAAGAGACCCAAGCTCTCTAATCTTGGATTGCTGCTGACTCTGACAAGTTACATGATGTCCCCAAGCCTCCATTTTCACAATTATGAAACAAGAAGGTATAGCTATCTCCAAGGTTCTTCTCAACTCAAAATGTCTAGGGTCCTGTAATTCACACTGCCTTTAGAAGTAAATCATCCCTACAAATTATAAAGAGAAGGATCCCCAAAAGAGAGAACCCACCCAATCAGAGAACTAATGATAACTTCTTAGGAAGTAATTTATAACAATGACTCCTCCTTTTACTTAACACCTATAAAACATCTAGCTTTCTGACATTCAGTCTCAAGGGATGCATTTAATTGCATAAACCTAACTCAGTACCACTGGTGCCTGTTTACAAATAAATGGCAGCAAAAACAAACAAAAAAAGGATTTAGTCAAAACCTGAAAGGAATATAGAAATATCAGCCAAGTAGTAACTTAGTTACCAGAAACAAAACAACTCTACCTGCTCTGGCAATGGGATATAGCCTCTTTTCTCCAGGAAGGGTCCAATATTTGATGAACTAGCATGAGCCATCAGGTGCTCAGGAATTTGCTATAAAATAAAAGCAAATTAATTGTATTTATTAATGTTATGCTTTCATACTAAGATAGTAAAATTGTAATTTCAAAATTTCAAAAGTATTAAGCTAAGCATTGCCTTTTTCACTAGAATATTCTTTACATTAAATTCAATGACCTATAAGTTAATTACCAAATTCAAGAATTCTTTATCTACTACATAACTACCATATAAGAAATCTTCACCAGAATTAGTAGTACTACTACTTTTGACAAGCTCAAGATCCAAATGAGACCATGTTTGGTTCTATATATTAATAACCATTTAAGCCATAAATTTTATAAGAAATATGTCAGAGGTATTTAAGAGATAGGAGATGAATTCTACAGATTATAAATGAATCAATACCACATTCCAAAAGCTACCAGCCTAATGTCCTATCAAATTAATCAGAACATGAAAATTCTGAAGTTTACCAAATTCTTAGTAAAAATGTGATGTTTTTAAGACTACCTGTAATGCCGTAGACCTGAGAAGTGCACTATGAACCATTGGAGATCAACATTACTCACAGTGGTCTTGAGGGACCCAAATGTGGTGATGGCCTGGCGAAGGGCAATGGTATCTGCTTCAAAGAGCAGGACAGTAGAATCTTCAGGTTTGAGGGTCAAACCACCCAGTCTAAAGAAAAAACAAATAAAACCTGGCTATTCTTAAGGGAGTAACTGTGTCAACTTCATCCAAAACAAAAGCCATATTGTAAGTAATTTGAAATTACTTTTCTAAGTAATTCAACCAAAGGTTATGTTAACCATGCATGACCAAATATATTATTAAATATATACAAACAGGATGATCTTACCACAGGACCAGAGAAGTTAAATCCAATACATGCAGTTACAAAATCTGACTTTTTTTAATACACTCAAGTTAAAGAGCCAAAAGTCAAAGCAAGCAAAAAGGGTCTTTACCTCTCCAGGCACAGGGAGACTTGATTGGCTAAATCTTTGTTTTGGGTGCACTCCAGCTGATGAATAAGACAATTGAATTGACCCAGTAACTGTAAGAAAAATGAAACCATCTAAGCCACAATAATACTAAAAGCACCAAGTGTATCCAAGTTAACAAATGGTACTTGAGATGAAACTTTGATCTATATTAATGCTGCATTACAGAAAAGACATTCTCTGGAAACCAGAAATCATACTCAAACCAATTACAGCCTTGCAGCCACCTTACCCAGTAGAGCTGTTGGGTCTGCTGCTGAAGTGTCTCCTCCTTAAGCTGATAGATAAGATCCACCTGTTCATATAGCCACACCTCCCGACTTCTGAGGTGTTCCAGGTGACGGCTTATGGAGCTGTGAATCTGGGCTTTGACCTAGGAAACAATACGTGTTAGCTTCATTAGCGTTAAAGCCCAAAGAATGTTTCCCTCAGAACGGTGAGGTTCTTGCAACTTTTTTTGGAGGTGGGGGGGTCACATATCCTTTTGGTTGTGTAGTGACATCAATGGAATGTCTCCCCAGAAAAATGCATATACTCAAAATTTTGCCTATAATCTCAGGGTTTAGTGTCTCAAAGCCCACCCATGGAGCTAACAAAGCCCCATGGACCCAGTTTAAGAATTCCAGCCATAAAGGTATACTAAGCTCTAAAATTCTCCTTCAATACCCCTGCTCCAAAGATGATCAAGTTTATTTGGGCATCCTGAAATAATCAAGAAAAAATACAAGGATATTTCATATACTACTGATCCCCCTCAGTTTTCCATATAATTTAAACAAAGTCTTACAAATTTATCAGTGGAATAGGACAAGAGGATTAACTTAATAGCTAGCTCATATCCCTTATCTCACCCTACAAATGAGCAATCCATTTACAGTAGGCCAATTCAGTAAGGACATGTCAATAGCCAGAAGACACTGGGGTAGACAGTTTGAGTAAAATTATGAATTGTTTCTGGAAGCATAAGTAGTGATTCAAAAGGCAGACAAATATAAGAATCCTAAGAAAAAAACTAGAACAGCTATAAATTACCTATGAGCCCACATCAGAAACTATTTTAACATTTTTCTGCATAATGAAGCTCTATTTCGAAGTCATCTAATACTTGATCTACCCACTTACCAACAGAATACTATTAGGTCAAAGGAGCAAACAGGTTCATCCTGATTTGCTCTAACAGAGAAAGTCATTTACAGAACCATGTGACCACCCACCAAGTTAAAAGATAGGGGACATGCTGAAGTGCCATCCTTTATGCATCAAGGACACAGCTGAGCAGTACAGTGCTCACTCATTTGTTCTTTTTTTACTGATGGCAGTGCTTGGCACGGGGATTACACAGAGCAGCAATAAAAAAAGTGCATGCTGAACTGAATTCTCTGACATAGAACAAGGTTTTCCAGGCTCTTCTAACATTGGCTTGCTTTCTCTTTGGTATCAAAGGCACCAACCTTTCAGGAGCCCACATGGCATAGGGTGAAACTCTTTGGGTTGGTACTGAAAGGCTAAGTCCTTGACTGTGCTCTAACCAGCCTGTGCTGAGAGTCTAGACAAGGGAAAAGCTGTCACACCTCTCGCAAGTTATCTTTAATCTGTTGTTCAGCCCGGAGAACTCCACCAATTGCAAGCTCCAAGTCCCTCTGTGCATCGCAACACCTCAAAAGGGGCTCTCTATTACTGGAGCAGCCGCTCTGGTCCTGTGAGGCACTCATTCTGCTCACTGTTCCTTCAAAAGAAAAAAACAACAACAACAATCCAAGCTGTACTGTAATTACAACCAAAATCCACCTTTTAATCACCCCCAAATGATCATTCCAACCAGCTCCCAGTTGCTAATTACTTAGATGACTTCCAACATAGGACTTGGCAAACAGAGTACTCTTCTACTGTGTTCCTGCCATAAAACTCTATGCATCTACTTTAGTGACACTTTACATGTGAACAGATATTTCTGAAAAAACTACAGTAATTTTCCTGAATTGATAAAAGTTAGAATCCAAAAAGTTAGAAACACTAGAGTGTAAGTTTCTATTTACAACACACATAAAGTTACAGGAGGTATGTGTTCTTGTTTTACAGAGAGGTGAAGAATTAGATCTAGAAGGATCTATAACTGCTTTGAAAAAAACCTGCAAAATAATAACTTGATCAAGAGTTTTAGAACATTGTTTGGATCTGGCATTTACCTACATTTTCAAGAATGTAAATCTAACAAAATAATTTCATAGGATTCTGATAGAAGGGAAAGAAATACAGAAGTTGGTGTGGGGATCTACAGCATTCTCTAATAAGTTTACGGGAGATAATAAATAAAAATGAAAAGAATGGGAAAGGGAAAGGAACTGGGGAGGGTTAGTAGAAAGGGAGGGATAAGGAGATTAAGGGGCATTACGATTAGCACACATAATGTGGGGGCAGCACGGGGAAGGCAGTATAGCACAGAGAAGACAAGTAGTGACTACAGCATCTTACTTTGCTGATGGACAGCGACTGTAATGGGGTATGTGGTGGGGACTTGATAATGGCGGGAATCTAGTAACCACAATGTTGCTCATGTGATTGTATATTAATGATATCATAATAAAAGTTAAAAAAAATAAAAAAAGAATGATGGAGGAAAAAAAATGTTACATAACCAAAGACATAATGGTATGAATCTGGGACAGAGGAGTGTCAAAAACACAATGAAGCAAAGTTTGACAAAGATGCTAAAGAAAAGCTTGGTGGTTATCCTAGATGGATTTAGAATCAGAGATGGTTTCTAAACACTTAGAAAAAGAAAGCAGTGATCACTGTAGCCCAGCATGGGTTCACTAAGCCCTGTGACACCAAAGTTATTTCCTTGGATAGTTTTACTAAACTTATCAGCAGTGTAATCCTGTAGACATGATATAACCGGATGATATAAAGACTTGTGACAAGGTTATATGCTTGGATCTTTGTGGACAAAGTAAATAGGGGCTAAACAGAAGTACAACTAAATTGAGTCAAAAGATTATTTTTTTAAAAAGCTACCTGAAATACAAAGGGCTGAAGCCCATCTGTAATGTGTTTAGAGGTATGTCCCTGTTTTGCCCAAGTACTCAAGTGTTTCCCCTAATTCCTTGGATGAAAACACAGATGGGAGACATTTAAAGTTGGAGATAACATGGGGTGGTGACAGAAACAGAATCCGCAACAATCTGTACATAGCTGTTAAATCATACAAAACTAAATATAAATGTTTTACCTTGAATGGGAAAGGACAAAAGTGAAGAGCATAAATGTTTTTAAAAGGATGGAAATTTTCAACTGAAAGTGAACTCTGTGAGTTAGCTGAGTGGTGTGTCTGAGGGAAAAATGACTATTTGCATTTGCCAAAAGTAATAGCCTTTGTCACAGGATTAATCTGTTCCATGTTTATTAAAGTAAATTTGAAATTTATTTTTGAGTAACACACTTTAGACAGAGACATTTAGAAAAGGGAAAGAAGCCTCAATAAACCATGAAAAATTTCTCCACCAAGGGAAGCTGTGTGGCCTAGATAAGAGAAGTCTCTGGGAGAACTTGCCAAATATTTGGAGACCTGTCAAACAGAAGAATTATATTTGTTGAGAATTACCCAAAGGGAGACAAGGATTTTAGGAGACATTTGAGTCAATATGTGAAACAGGCTTTCTAATAGAGGCCAGCTTTTGGCTGAAGAGCAGTCCACCAGTGTGGACAGTCCTCCAAATGGCTGACTGCTTGTCTGAAAAGGGAACTTTGGCCTGAACTGCATCTTCAAGCCTAGGTTTAGGACCAGGTGGCTAGCTAGATGCTAGAAATGGACAAAAGCCATGTGAATCCCCACTGTCTGAAATAAATCAGTAGGCAAAAAAGCCCAACAGGCTTTTTTTTAGCCATCTCAGCAAAAGACTCACAATTCAGGAACTACAGAATTCCTCTAAGAAACTCTGGAAAGATTCGTGAAACTTTCTAACTTCCCATTGTTATTCTGTCACCTCTGTCTGTTTTCCCAAAATGACCTCTATCCTTAACTGGATTTAACAGGAATCCCTGTGGAATTGTTTCTGATCCTGGAAATATCAGCTTTAGCTACCTTGATACCTTTTTCACACTCTAAGTCGCCCTGTTACAAGCATAGGCATCAGGGTATATTTGGCACACTTCAAAAAAACAGCTGCATAAGCAGCCCAGTTTGAAAAAGACAGATGCACCCCTATGTTTATTGCTGCACTATTTACAATAGCCAAGAAATGGAAGCAACCTAAGTGTCCATCAGTAGATGAATGGATAAAGATGTGGCACATATACACAATGGAATATTATTCAGCCATAAGAAGAAAACAAATCCTACCATTTGCAACAACATGGATGGAGCTAGAGGGTATTATGCTCAGTGAAATAAGCCAGGTGGAGAAAGACAAGTACCAAATGCTTTCACTCATATGTGGAATATAAGAACAAAGGAAAAACTGAAGGAACAAAACAGCAACAGAATTACAGAACCCAAGAAAGGACTAACAGTTACCAAAGGGAAAGGGACTGGGGAGGATGGGTGGGAAGGGAGGGATAAGGCGGGGGGAGAAAAAAGGGGGCCTTACGATTAGCATGAATAATGTGTGGGGGGGAGCACGGGGAGGGCTGTGTAACACAGAGAAAACAAGTAGTGATTTTATGGCATCTTACTACGCTGATGGACAGTGACTAATGGGGTATGTGGGGGTGACTTAGTGAAGGGGGGAGTCTAGTAAATATAATGTTCCTCATGTAATTGTAGATCAATGATACAAAAAAAAATCTTGAACAAAGAAAAAAAAAGCAGCTGCATAAAACAAGTGAAATGTTGGCTCATTTGGAGAGGAGTGTCATCCCATTACAAGTTGCTTTGCTTTGCAATTATTCCTTGTAAACCACGCATGTTCAGCTGTCTTTCAAATTACTAACCAACTTTCAGCTGTGCCACATTTCCCATTCTGAGGTTCTCACCATTTGTGTGGAATGCCACTATGCCTGGCACAGTGAAAAAGCCAATCAATAAAATTAAACCAAAATGTTGCTTCACAATGTCAAAGAGCCCAAAGCTCTAGATCGTCTGGTAGAAAACTCTAACGCAGACAGCGCTGACTGCATTACTACATCCCTAAAGCAAGTCTTCTCAATTCAATCACAAATACTGTACCAAATATGGCAAAAGTATACAAACTGCATTCTTCCCATATCAGCTATGGACAGAAAGTAGATGAGATTTAAAAGTTATGAAACTGAGTTTTCCCCACCTATTAATCACACTTTCAAATTAAAATGAGCGCTATCCTTCAAAAACAGTTACCTTGTTAGGATAAGAGTCTTTAGAGCCCCTTTGTTTGCCACTAATTAAACCTGTTTGGTTTCCTTAAGGCCAGTCCCCAGATGCTTGTCCTTCTGCTGCCCTTCACTCTGTCCCCCTTCCCATTTGCCTTATGCAATGGTAATCTTAGGCAAGTCAATGATGTGATCTATTAAATATTACATAAACATACAAAGATTGGGGGAAAAAAATGATAAAATCTAGAAGAATTCTGCTTCAAATAACTTTGCAGGTACCTCTTTGCTCCCATAAGCTTCAGTATTTGCCCTTGTGTCTTTATAAAAAGTTTAGGTTCTAAAGGGAAAAATTCCTAAAGCATTTTATCTCTCTTCTACTTAAAGATTTAACTATCCATTCCATTCCTCCTAGTAGATCATCTCATCTAAGGAAAGCATAAACTTCAATTCTCCAGTAGCTCCCCACCTGCCTACAGGATAAAGTGTAAATTTCTTATGAAGGCAATAAAGTTTTCTATTTTCTGGTTTCAGCCTGACTCTCCTACTGTCCCTTCAACACAGCCCCCACCCCACGATCTGCTGGACAACTGTTTCATGCATAGTCGAAGCTGATTCAACTAGTCCAGCTTGGGTCTCCCACCTCTCTCTGCTAACAGTGCCATTTCTTTCCTTTCTTCCCCCATGTCCATTTTTCTGACTATGCTCAAGTAACTGCCACTACAAAGCCTTTGTGGACCATTCACCCCACATGAGTTTTGGCCAATTAACTGCTCTCCTCTGGGCCCACTGTAATCTGTACAGATTTCCAGCATGACACCTACAACATATTACTCTCATTGTTATGTCTGCTTCCTTAAGCCTGCAAGCTCCCCAAAAGAAGGGACTATGTCTTATTTGGCTTGGTACACCCTAATGCCATACAGATAGCTTGGTATCAGTATCTCAGCATTACCAGCCCCCTGCACATTCACATTCCACATGCTCTATGGGATTGACATAAACAGAATGGCATCCCTGGAGTTGTGCAACGCTGTGACCCTAAACTCAACAGAAGCTTGATACATATTTGATAAATGGATGAATAAATGACAAATGAATATTCAAGTTCAGACCAGCCACAATAACTATGTATAGTTCTACTTTAAACACAGATAATCAACTGGATGTCCCACTAAGACCTGCATTAACTCAGGAAGGTTTTTCAGAGGTGGAAATGTTTCTAGCATATCTATTACTTTTAATTTTCTTTTCAAACAAGACAAAACTGACAAGGGTTTTGCCACTGAATCCATGATCCCAGGATAGGCGCTAAGATACAGTGTCTTTCCTGACACCAGAACTGTCAAACCTCAGCTATTTTATAAATTCACAAACATCAGCAGGTCTGTGACTTAAAGGGGAAATAATAACTGTATTTATAGCCAACTCTGAATTTTTTCTCAGATTTTGCAGTACCACAAAAATTCCAGCTGACATTACATAAGTTTGGTAGAACTTTCAGAACTGAGGCCCATCCTTATTTTCAACTTGAAAGTTCTTGCCATTATAAATAATCAAGGATAGGAAAACATGTTGTTTATCAACCATCAACAATAATAATACCATTTTCTTTCTGATTTTATATGGTAAACATCTTGTGGTTTTCCCCACAGAAGGTAACAAGTGATAAGATATTATCCCTCCTCTAAAGTCTGGTGGACTAGCGATAATGGAAAAATGAATCTCAAAATACACCTGAGATTATTCTGATGAAACTGGTGATTGTACAAGTATTAAAAGAATTAACTTCTTACCTATGACCTATCAGACAAGCAAAAACCTTTTAACTTATTTTGTCAGTTATCACTCCTCCACTGAACCAAATTGTCAGGCTTAAGAGCATTCAAGGCAATGCTGGTTAAGAGTAATATTAAGCCTCAAAAGTGCCCCCAGACATACTCCCAGCCCCAGAGAAGAATATCTTGATTCCACACATAATGGAGCCAAGCAAAATCAGGGGTAATGACTTGGTGTAAGAATGACTAAGAGAATTAGAATGAATCATTCACATCAGAAGTTTAAAAAGCACCCTCAAAATAACTATCATGTTCACCTGTCTGTGAATCTAATTCAAAGAGTATGAATGATATGCCAGGATTTAACCTACTGTAGGCTAGATGGGAAGTTTATAAATTACGACTGTAATGTTATGGTTTAACAAGCAAAGAAGACAAGCTGAAGGACTATATGGCAGCTCCTCTAACTGACAAGCATAGAAACACTATTTAAAGCTAATCTCCAGAGCAAAAGTGGCCAACTTGGCCTCCTATCAGCTTAGGCCACCTGCACTGTTACTGTATTCTATGTTGAAACAATGTATTTAGACAGCTATAATGAAAGCAAAACCAAAATGAAAATCATGGACAAAAACTTTAAGAGGGCTAAAAAAGTAAAAGAAATAATAATAAAAATGCTCCGGACATTTATGTTCCTTCATAACTGAACTTAATCTATTACATACATATTGGTTGTGCCTTATTATAGTCTTGCAACTATAATATTTAGACTTAAATTATATTTAGACTTGCAACCCAACTGGTATATTAAGAGACACTGAATTCACTGATCTCAGCAGTACCTCAGAAAGTGCTTTTGGTCAGTCAAGAATGGGGTATGATAATAAAGGAAGATGTTTTATTATGCAGTTCATCAACTTAATAAATCACCATCATCTCTCTCTAGTGTTTGTGCAGAAACTTCATGACTGCTGCCCACTCCTCCCACTTTGCCTACTCTTCTCTTTACTTGCTCAGTCCAGCCACAATTCCCCCCCTTACTGCTCCTCCAATATACCAAGGATGCTTCCACTTCAGGGCCCTTGCACTTTCCTCCAGATATCCTCATGCCCATTCATTCCCTTCCTTAGGGTGTCTGACCAAAGGTCACCTTCTTAGTATGGCCATTTCTCACTATCCTGTAAAAATTAAGTCTTCCTTCCGTACATTCCACCTTAATATATTTTGTTTTTCTCTATAGCACCTATCATAATCTAACATGTAGAAATCATTTATTTTCTGAGAAGTTCCACATAGGTAGGGATATATGGCAGGTGTTCAGTAAATAGTTGTTGAATAAATGAGTTCAATAAGTATTTCATTTATGAGCCAAAACTGTTTTTTTTTATTTCATTTAGTCCTCACAAACCTTTAAGGTACATATTATCACCACAATTTTAAAAATAAAGAAACTAAGACTTGACAAGGTTAAATATATTACCTACAGTCACAAGCTCCCAAGAAGAATTTAATACTATGTCTGAGTCTAAAGTACCCAGCCATACAATGTATGTTAAAGGGTCATTTAGGTATTAAGAGTTTATGTATTCATTCAACAAGTATTTATTGAGTGCTTAAGCTGAGAAGTAATTATTATAGTCCCTAAAAACACAATGGTGAATTTGCTGTCTAGAGAATTTGAGCCATTAATTCACCAAAACTAAGCAGAAAATACTAATTCTGTGAAATAGGAGACTGAGAATTATGAAGTCCAGCAGCAGCAGCAGCAGCTAGCTCTGAATGTCTGTCTTCTATGCTTTTTTACTCATTTGCTCTATGAGGGAAGTTATAAAACACTAGCAAGAGGCTCTCAGATGGGATGGTGGGGGATGTATGTTAGAATATCCTGTGCAGTTCTATGAAGCCCCTAACAGAGTCCTGATATTCTGGCACAGCTGAGCTGATTTAATAAAATGGGGAATGGGTGAGGAGTTCTCTGTAATTCTAAAACATCTCCTTCTCCTTTGATAATCACATTTTCCTTTCCTAACATGGCTCACCGTGTTTTTCCACTTTTGAAATACCTGTTTGTCCAAAAGCAATAATGTAGCTGCAGAGGCTTAGACAAAAATACCATACAACTTTGGGGATGAGGAATACTTTAGACCCTTGGCCCCTAGGATTTTCCCTAGGAACGCAAGGACAAAAGTTCCATAGAAAAGAGGGAAGAAGAACACAGTGTAAGGCATGTTACCATGCTAGACTTTGCAGATATTATCTCACTTAATAAATCTGTACACTGGCAAATATTCCAAGGAGCAAACCAGGTAATCTGCCTAAGCCACAAGGTACTATGTGCACTGCCCCCACCTCCCCACCCACCGGCCCCCCATTAGAGCATCTGGGTAAGTTTTCCTCCAAGGGTCTGGCGTTCTTAAAGTTCAGAAATGTCACACTAGGACCCCAGTGCAGAAATGAGCCAACTATGAGTACCTGACCCACCCTCAATCCAGGAAGTAACTCAAAAGAGTCCCTACAACCGAATTTCCAAACTACCAAGTGGAGAGTGGAAAGCGAAATCTATCCAAAAAAGTAGTTATGCTGAACAGAAAACAACACAAAATGATACAGTGAAAAAAGCTTTGCCTTTCGATCAGAGACCCTAGCACTTTGACTTCTGTCATTACTGCTCCCATCACTCCCAAGTTATATGACAAGGCACGTAAAACAGTTTCACCATTGTGGGTGCCCATGCCACAAAAATTTAGTTCCATGAAAATAATGGAGTGTGCCCATTTTTTTCACTGCTATATCCTCAATATCCTGAACATATGGACACTGTATATTGACTGTCGGTGGAATAAATCAAATAAGGAGCAAGCCTCACTCTTCTAATCTGTGGAAAGAGGTAATCAAGCTACCTCATGGGATCGTTGAATTACATGAGACACTAAGTAAACGCTGTGTTGGCACAGAGAGGGAGGAAAAAATATCTTCACGTTTCCACCTAACAGGTTAGGAATGCATATGCTCTGGTCCCGTTCTGGAAAACGGGCCCCTCCTCGCCCCAAGACACCCTGGCGAGAACAAGGAAAACCTTGGAGCTGTCACCCCAAGGGCCAGGAGAAGGAGGGCAGGGGGAAGGAGGTGTCCCAGGGGCAGAGCGTGTCAAGGGGAGGAGAGGACAGGCAGGAGGTGACCCTCGGGGCTGGGCGGGTCAAAAGAAAGGCCAGCTGGCAAGAGCAGGCCCAGGCCCGGAGGGCAAGTGGTGTTAGCGCCGAGGACTAGCCCGCGACATGAGGGCCGGAGGAGGCGAGCCCTCCCCGCCGGCCACTCAAGTTCTTACCAGTTCCCAGGGCAACTCCCGGCGATCCGGAGGGTACCTTCCTGCGGCAGACACCAGCCCTACAGAAACCAAGAGCCGAAAGGCAGAGTTCTCGCGAGAGCACAACCTTCCTCTCACACCTCACGCCACGCGTCTGACAGTCTCGCGAGATCTCTGCCCCGTTTGGGATGGGGGCGTGCCCTCTAAGTGCACAGAGCGCAGGCGCACCCTCTTTTCTGAGCTGGAGGACAGTGTCCTTTCACCCTCCGTAAGTCAGGTTAAATAAAACGAACATACTTTGATGGCTGCGCTGTGCTGAGATTTATCCTGAGTCCCTTTCACCAGATGCCCTTCTAAGGTAGATATTATTTAGTATTTAGCCTTAGCACACAGATGCAAGAGAACGTTGGAAGACACAGAAGGACAAATACTGGAAGATTCCACTTCAATAAGGTACTCAGAGTAGTCAAATTTTATAGAGGCAGAAAATAGAAGGGGTGGTTGCCACAGGCTGGGGGAGAGGAGATATTATTGGTTAATGAGTTCAGAGTTTCAGTTCATGGGATGATGGAAAGTTCTGGAGATGGATGGTGATGATTATTGAACCACTTGATTCCACTCGACTGTAAACTTAAAAATGGATAAGATGACACAGAGAAAACAAGTAGTGATTTTACAGCATCTCACTACGCTGATGGACAGTGACTAATGGGGTTTGTGGGGGGGACTTGGTGAAGGGGGGAGTCTAGTAAACAGAATGTTCCTCATTAATTGTAGATTAATGATACCAAAACAAATAATAAATAAATAAAACCCTTTAAAAATGGTTAAAATGGTTAAGTTTTATGTTATGTATACTTTGCCACAATTTAAAAAATAATAAGTCAGTAAATAAATGTTTGAGTCCAGATTCCTAGTCACATCATCTAACTTCAAAACAAATGTTTGTTTGCACCACATCACACCACACCATTTTCCACACTCTTCATGCCATCACTGTGTACGTCCCTTCACAAGCTGTCCACTGTAGCATTATTCACGTTGGAACTTTATTTATTTATGACCAGATGTTAAAACAGGAATTTTCCTGTCTTAGTTTTGACAGAGGTCCCCAGTACTTGGTGCTAATTGCTCCCCATGTTTCCCAGCAAGGTGAAGGACCATCTAAGTAGGATTTAAAAAGGAGATGATCATGACAGGGCTTGTAGATCCCACCCAAGGGTGATAAGGGTCAAGGCAATCTCAGCGGAAAACAATAGGAAACATAGGTTCAGGTGCAGAAGCTAAGTAAGTGGAAGGGGAGCTGTAGAGAAGGAAGCGCAGTAGGGAATGTCAGAGAGGCCCACAAAAGCCCCAGGAGGAAGTAGATCACCCTGAACACCCAGGCAGAGGGAGCCAAGACTAAATGGTATCCTCAGTTCTCCTGTCCCCCATTCCCTCTTCAATTCAGATGCAGACTCTGGATTGAGACTTTCTGAAACTCAAAGTGACCAAAGAACTTTTTTATTATCCTAGTGCCAAAAAACTAAAGGGCCTGCCACAATTGCTCAACTAGTCCACATAGCATGTTTAAACAGGCGGGAGTGGGGGAGGTAGGAAATAAATCTCTTTATTGATTGCCCATGTTTACTCAATGGCAGACTGTTTGCTTGTTGTCTGTCACGTACACACACAACTCCAAGAGCCAGGAGAGCAGGTACCTTGACTCTTTGTTTCATTGCTTGTTGGTTCACAAGCTCTTCACTAGCTTCCCAGGTGAAATCTGAAGCCAGCCCCCATACGCAGAGGGCCAAAAAAGGTCAAAGAAAGAGGCAGGCCACTCCAGATTGGTAGGTGGCATGTTTAATAAGCAAGAAAACTTAGATGTTAGGCTTGTCTCATATGGCTGCAAGACAAATAGATCTCTGCACCTGCCCACCAGTGTTAAAAGGTTTTAGAGACGCCAAAGCTGGGTCCTGTCATGTATACAGCCCAGATGGTCTCAATACCGTATCACTATCTCAAGGCTCTGTCCTTGAGGCAGCGTCTGAGCAGGGCAGGCAGGCGGAACCTACATTCCGAGGAAAGGGGGAGGGGATGAGAAGCCTCTGATTGCTAAAGTCCAACTCACAGATCAACTTGTGGTCACACCTTCTCAAGGATATTCCCCAACGCTGCTGTAGCCTAAGCCCAGAGCAACCTCTGGCCTAGGCACTCAGTAAAGACTTGTTGAATGAACACATACTCTCTAACACAGAAAGAGCAAGAGATGATCAGCATTGTCACTGTTTTAAGTACCTAAGTTTTGGGATGCTCTGTGTGTAGCAAGAGATAACTGTACCCAAGCCATTCCCCACCCATAAGGCTGAGAACCTCCTGGCCTTTTAATACTCCATCAGGCTTCATGTGGTCTTGGAGGCACTTCTGCCAGGCTGCCCTGCTTTCATCTGTTCTAACCTCAGAGAAACACAGAGTTATATGAGGGTCACAGCATGGAGGATACTCTCTGAAGAGAAGGAAAGAAAGGTAGACATGAAAACTACAAAGAAAATAAGGGATCTGATTTCATTTCAAAACACATTTCTTCTTTTTGCATTGTTCATCAGCTAGCAGGACATCAGGGCAGCAGAGAACAGACGTAACAGAAGCAAAAGAAGCAGCAGTGGTACGCTAAGTAGGGGATGCATAATGAATTACTGAAATGCAGGGAAAATATGAGTGTTACTCATATTAATTTTGTCTTCTTTAAATGTTCACATGCTTTATAGTGTACAGTATATCAATGCATAATTTATAATTTTAAAGTATACACATAGTCAAGAGTTTGCTCAAATTTTTTTTACTGATAGGTAGGGTTATACAATCAAAGAGGCCATAGAAGAATAAGGCTGGGTCTGCGAGAAACTGGGCCCTTTCAGGCTGGAAGCCCTGGGTCCACACGAAGCGTGTTACAATATCCATCCACTGACAAAGCATTCCCTTCCTGGGTTTGTCCGCTCCACTACCTTGTAGGTGCAGGTCTCCTTGATGAAGATTTTCTGGCACTTGACTGGATCATAACCGTTGGGGGCAGCAACCCTGCCATGGAGACAAGAGCAAGGTTTGTTAGTAGGGAAAGGATGCCCAGCTTCCCCAGGGCCAGCTCTGTGCTGGAAGCAGCCCACACTCCAGCTGTCTAGAATGCCCCTCACCAACTTAAGGTCACCTTTTAGCTGGCAAGCCCACAATGCTGCCTATGGGAACCTGGCCCTGAACAAATAAAACCTGGCTATGAACACATAGACTATCCCACATACACAGAAGGACAGCTGGAAGCTCTAACAGCCCCAGAGGTAGGTGGCTGCTCTGGAGCCAAGCAGCTTGTTCCATCCTGACTCTTCTTGCCCTATCTGCTTTGGAAGTGGCCAGCAGTGCTGCTACTTGAATGTGGGAAGGGGATGATTGTCCCAACCCTGGCACAGAGGCTGGTTAGAATAGGAGCTGACTCAGCCAGCAGAAATAATCACTCCAGGCCCAGGAAAAAGCTGATGGAAAGTAGGGGCCATCTCCCCAGGAAAATCCACCCATACATTCAAGGGTGCAAACAATTTCAAGGACCATTGCCCTCTTGGAACACATCCATAGCCCCAGATTTCAATTTCTGCTCCCCAAAGTATACATAGAAGCAGCCTATCCCCAGGGTCTTTTGTTATAATGATTCCTCCAAAAAGGTAACCCTTGACTTACTTTAACAAAAAAGGACATTTCAGTCCTCTTTCCAAAAGATAATCTGGGAACCAAATTGAGGACTAGAAAGAGAATTTCCCAGGGCACCTGGGGTAGGGGCATTTAGCACTGGGAATGTGAGGGCAGCCTGGGCCTGGAACTCTGNTGCAGAAACTTCATGACTGCTGCCCACTCCTCCCACTTTGCCTACTCTTCTCTTTACTTGCTCAGTCCAGCCACAATTCCCCCCCTTACTGCTCCTCCAATATACCAAGGATGCTTCCACTTCAGGGCCCTTGCACTTTCCTCCAGATATCCTCATGCCCATTCATTCCCTTCCTTAGGGTGTCTGACCAAAGGTCACCTTCTTAGTATGGCCATTTCTCACTATCCTGTAAAAATTAAGTCTTCCTTCCGTACATTCCACCTTAATATATTTTGTTTTTCTCTATAGCACCTATCATAATCTAACATGTAGAAATCATTTATTTTCTGAGAAGTTCCACATAGGTAGGGATATATGGCAGGTGTTCAGTAAATAGTTGTTGAATAAATGAGTTCAATAAGTATTTCATTTATGAGCCAAAACTGTTTTTTTTTATTTCATTTAGTCCTCACAAACCTTTAAGGTACATATTATCACCACAATTTTAAAAATAAAGAAACTAAGACTTGACAAGGTTAAATATATTACCTACAGTCACAAGCTCCCAAGAAGAATTTAATACTATGTCTGAGTCTAAAGTACCCAGCCATACAATGTATGTTAAAGGGTCATTTAGGTATTAAGAGTTTATGTATTCATTCAACAAGTATTTATTGAGTGCTTAAGCTGAGAAGTAATTATTATAGTCCCTAAAAACACAATGGTGAATTTGCTGTCTAGAGAATTTGAGCCATTAATTCACCAAAACTAAGCAGAAAATACTAATTCTGTGAAATAGGAGACTGAGAATTATGAAGTCCAGCAGCAGCAGCAGCAGCTAGCTCTGAATGTCTGTCTTCTATGCTTTTTTACTCATTTGCTCTATGAGGGAAGTTATAAAACACTAGCAAGAGGCTCTCAGATGGGATGGTGGGGGATGTATGTTAGAATATCCTGTGCAGTTCTATGAAGCCCCTAACAGAGTCCTGATATTCTGGCACAGCTGAGCTGATTTAATAAAATGGGGAATGGGTGAGGAGTTCTCTGTAATTCTAAAACATCTCCTTCTCCTTTGATAATCACATTTTCCTTTCCTAACATGGCTCACCGTGTTTTTCCACTTTTGAAATACCTGTTTGTCCAAAAGCAATAATGTAGCTGCAGAGGCTTAGACAAAAATACCATACAACTTTGGGGATGAGGAATACTTTAGACCCTTGGCCCCTAGGATTTTCCCTAGGAACGCAAGGACAAAAGTTCCATAGAAAAGAGGGAAGAAGAACACAGTGTAAGGCATGTTACCATGCTAGACTTTGCAGATATTATCTCACTTAATAAATCTGTACACTGGCAAATATTCCAAGGAGCAAACCAGGTAATCTGCCTAAGCCACAAGGTACTATGTGCACTGCCCCCACCTCCCCACCCACCGGCCCCCCATTAGAGCATCTGGGTAAGTTTTCCTCCAAGGGTCTGGCGTTCTTAAAGTTCAGAAATGTCACACTAGGACCCCAGTGCAGAAATGAGCCAACTATGAGTACCTGACCCACCCTCAATCCAGGAAGTAACTCAAAAGAGTCCCTACAACCGAATTTCCAAACTACCAAGTGGAGAGTGGAAAGCGAAATCTATCCAAAAAAGTAGTTATGCTGAACAGAAAACAACACAAAATGATACAGTGAAAAAAGCTTTGCCTTTCGATCAGAGACCCTAGCACTTTGACTTCTGTCATTACTGCTCCCATCACTCCCAAGTTATATGACAAGGCACGTAAAACAGTTTCACCATTGTGGGTGCCCATGCCACAAAAATTTAGTTCCATGAAAATAATGGAGTGTGCCCATTTTTTTCACTGCTATATCCTCAATATCCTGAACATATGGACACTGTATATTGACTGTCGGTGGAATAAATCAAATAAGGAGCAAGCCTCACTCTTCTAATCTGTGGAAAGAGGTAATCAAGCTACCTCATGGGATCGTTGAATTACATGAGACACTAAGTAAACGCTGTGTTGGCACAGAGAGGGAGGAAAAAATATCTTCACGTTTCCACCTAACAGGTTAGGAATGCATATGCTCTGGTCCCGTTCTGGAAAACGGGCCCCTCCTCGCCCCAAGACACCCTGGCGAGAACAAGGAAAACCTTGGAGCTGTCACCCCAAGGGCCAGGAGAAGGAGGGCAGGGGGAAGGAGGTGTCCCAGGGGCAGAGCGTGTCAAGGGGAGGAGAGGACAGGCAGGAGGTGACCCTCGGGGCTGGGCGGGTCAAAAGAAAGGCCAGCTGGCAAGAGCAGGCCCAGGCCCGGAGGGCAAGTGGTGTTAGCGCCGAGGACTAGCCCGCGACATGAGGGCCGGAGGAGGCGAGCCCTCCCCGCCGGCCACTCAAGTTCTTACCAGTTCCCAGGGCAACTCCCGGCGATCCGGAGGGTACCTTCCTGCGGCAGACACCAGCCCTACAGAAACCAAGAGCCGAAAGGCAGAGTTCTCGCGAGAGCACAACCTTCCTCTCACACCTCACGCCACGCGTCTGACAGTCTCGCGAGATCTCTGCCCCGTTTGGGATGGGGGCGTGCCCTCTAAGTGCACAGAGCGCAGGCGCACCCTCTTTTCTGAGCTGGAGGACAGTGTCCTTTCACCCTCCGTAAGTCAGGTTAAATAAAACGAACATACTTTGATGGCTGCGCTGTGCTGAGATTTATCCTGAGTCCCTTTCACCAGATGCCCTTCTAAGGTAGATATTATTTAGTATTTAGCCTTAGCACACAGATGCAAGAGAACGTTGGAAGACACAGAAGGACAAATACTGGAAGATTCCACTTCAATAAGGTACTCAGAGTAGTCAAATTTTATAGAGGCAGAAAATAGAAGGGGTGGTTGCCACAGGCTGGGGGAGAGGAGATATTATTGGTTAATGAGTTCAGAGTTTCAGTTCATGGGATGATGGAAAGTTCTGGAGATGGATGGTGATGATTATTGAACCACTTGATTCCACTCGACTGTAAACTTAAAAATGGATAAGATGACACAGAGAAAACAAGTAGTGATTTTACAGCATCTCACTACGCTGATGGACAGTGACTAATGGGGTTTGTGGGGGGGACTTGGTGAAGGGGGGAGTCTAGTAAACAGAATGTTCCTCATTAATTGTAGATTAATGATACCAAAACAAATAATAAATAAATAAAACCCTTTAAAAATGGTTAAAATGGTTAAGTTTTATGTTATGTATACTTTGCCACAATTTAAAAAATAATAAGTCAGTAAATAAATGTTTGAGTCCAGATTCCTAGTCACATCATCTAACTTCAAAACAAATGTTTGTTTGCACCACATCACACCACACCATTTTCCACACTCTTCATGCCATCACTGTGTACGTCCCTTCACAAGCTGTCCACTGTAGCATTATTCACGTTGGAACTTTATTTATTTATGACCAGATGTTAAAACAGGAATTTTCCTGTCTTAGTTTTGACAGAGGTCCCCAGTACTTGGTGCTAATTGCTCCCCATGTTTCCCAGCAAGGTGAAGGACCATCTAAGTAGGATTTAAAAAGGAGATGATCATGACAGGGCTTGTAGATCCCACCCAAGGGTGATAAGGGTCAAGGCAATCTCAGCGGAAAACAATAGGAAACATAGGTTCAGGTGCAGAAGCTAAGTAAGTGGAAGGGGAGCTGTAGAGAAGGAAGCGCAGTAGGGAATGTCAGAGAGGCCCACAAAAGCCCCAGGAGGAAGTAGATCACCCTGAACACCCAGGCAGAGGGAGCCAAGACTAAATGGTATCCTCAGTTCTCCTGTCCCCCATTCCCTCTTCAATTCAGATGCAGACTCTGGATTGAGACTTTCTGAAACTCAAAGTGACCAAAGAACTTTTTTATTATCCTAGTGCCAAAAAACTAAAGGGCCTGCCACAATTGCTCAACTAGTCCACATAGCATGTTTAAACAGGCGGGAGTGGGGGAGGTAGGAAATAAATCTCTTTATTGATTGCCCATGTTTACTCAATGGCAGACTGTTTGCTTGTTGTCTGTCACGTACACACACAACTCCAAGAGCCAGGAGAGCAGGTACCTTGACTCTTTGTTTCATTGCTTGTTGGTTCACAAGCTCTTCACTAGCTTCCCAGGTGAAATCTGAAGCCAGCCCCCATACGCAGAGGGCCAAAAAAGGTCAAAGAAAGAGGCAGGCCACTCCAGATTGGTAGGTGGCATGTTTAATAAGCAAGAAAACTTAGATGTTAGGCTTGTCTCATATGGCTGCAAGACAAATAGATCTCTGCACCTGCCCACCAGTGTTAAAAGGTTTTAGAGACGCCAAAGCTGGGTCCTGTCATGTATACAGCCCAGATGGTCTCAATACCGTATCACTATCTCAAGGCTCTGTCCTTGAGGCAGCGTCTGAGCAGGGCAGGCAGGCGGAACCTACATTCCGAGGAAAGGGGGAGGGGATGAGAAGCCTCTGATTGCTAAAGTCCAACTCACAGATCAACTTGTGGTCACACCTTCTCAAGGATATTCCCCAACGCTGCTGTAGCCTAAGCCCAGAGCAACCTCTGGCCTAGGCACTCAGTAAAGACTTGTTGAATGAACACATACTCTCTAACACAGAAAGAGCAAGAGATGATCAGCATTGTCACTGTTTTAAGTACCTAAGTTTTGGGATGCTCTGTGTGTAGCAAGAGATAACTGTACCCAAGCCATTCCCCACCCATAAGGCTGAGAACCTCCTGGCCTTTTAATACTCCATCAGGCTTCATGTGGTCTTGGAGGCACTTCTGCCAGGCTGCCCTGCTTTCATCTGTTCTAACCTCAGAGAAACACAGAGTTATATGAGGGTCACAGCATGGAGGATACTCTCTGAAGAGAAGGAAAGAAAGGTAGACATGAAAACTACAAAGAAAATAAGGGATCTGATTTCATTTCAAAACACATTTCTTCTTTTTGCATTGTTCATCAGCTAGCAGGACATCAGGGCAGCAGAGAACAGACGTAACAGAAGCAAAAGAAGCAGCAGTGGTACGCTAAGTAGGGGATGCATAATGAATTACTGAAATGCAGGGAAAATATGAGTGTTACTCATATTAATTTTGTCTTCTTTAAATGTTCACATGCTTTATAGTGTACAGTATATCAATGCATAATTTATAATTTTAAAGTATACACATAGTCAAGAGTTTGCTCAAATTTTTTTTACTGATAGGTAGGGTTATACAATCAAAGAGGCCATAGAAGAATAAGGCTGGGTCTGCGAGAAACTGGGCCCTTTCAGGCTGGAAGCCCTGGGTCCACACGAAGCGTGTTACAATATCCATCCACTGACAAAGCATTCCCTTCCTGGGTTTGTCCGCTCCACTACCTTGTAGGTGCAGGTCTCCTTGATGAAGATTTTCTGGCACTTGACTGGATCATAACCGTTGGGGGCAGCAACCCTGCCATGGAGACAAGAGCAAGGTTTGTTAGTAGGGAAAGGATGCCCAGCTTCCCCAGGGCCAGCTCTGTGCTGGAAGCAGCCCACACTCCAGCTGTCTAGAATGCCCCTCACCAACTTAAGGTCACCTTTTAGCTGGCAAGCCCACAATGCTGCCTATGGGAACCTGGCCCTGAACAAATAAAACCTGGCTATGAACACATAGACTATCCCACATACACAGAAGGACAGCTGGAAGCTCTAACAGCCCCAGAGGTAGGTGGCTGCTCTGGAGCCAAGCAGCTTGTTCCATCCTGACTCTTCTTGCCCTATCTGCTTTGGAAGTGGCCAGCAGTGCTGCTACTTGAATGTGGGAAGGGGATGATTGTCCCAACCCTGGCACAGAGGCTGGTTAGAATAGGAGCTGACTCAGCCAGCAGAAATAATCACTCCAGGCCCAGGAAAAAGCTGATGGAAAGTAGGGGCCATCTCCCCAGGAAAATCCACCCATACATTCAAGGGTGCAAACAATTTCAAGGACCATTGCCCTCTTGGAACACATCCATAGCCCCAGATTTCAATTTCTGCTCCCCAAAGTATACATAGAAGCAGCCTATCCCCAGGGTCTTTTGTTATAATGATTCCTCCAAAAAGGTAACCCTTGACTTACTTTAACAAAAAAGGACATTTCAGTCCTCTTTCCAAAAGATAATCTGGGAACCAAATTGAGGACTAGAAAGAGAATTTCCCAGGGCACCTGGGGTAGGGGCATTTAGCACTGGGAATGTGAGGGCAGCCTGGGCCTGGAACTCTGTTCTCAGCTTGACTGGCACTGGGCAGCTCGAGATCTGGACAGCATCCCCTAGAGAGTGCAATGGGTCAAAAAAATCCTTCCAGAGAAAATTTAATCAAAATCTATATTTTGCCAAGACCAAAAGAAATCACAAGAGAAACTTGGTAGGCTATGAGGCAATTACAGGGGAAAGGAGTTGGTTCTGAATAGGAGGGAGAAACGTGCACATTTCCTCCATGTGGAACAGTGCCAAATGGGATAGGCAACATGGAAGGAAAGAGGGAAGGGGCACCTTGAGCCCCAACCAAGTGTCAGAGGTCCCAGGCTCAGGGGATACAGAAGTGACATAAAGAAGCATTAAATATTTATTGAGTTAAAGAATGTATATGCAGATTATGATTAGCACACATAATGTAGGGGGGTCACAGGGAAGGCAGTAGAGCAGAAAGAAAACAAGTAGTGACTCTATAACATCTTACTATGCTGATGAACAGTAACTGTAATGGGGTATATTGTGGGGACTTGATAATGGGGAAAATCTAGTAACCACTATGTTGCTCATGTAATTGTATATCAACTTAATTGATAATTTAAAAAATCATCACACACACAAAAAGAACATATATGCAGAATCTCATTTAATTCTCATATCCACCTGATTATCCCTATTTCCAGTGAGTAAACTGAGACTCAGAGAGATTAAGAAACATATCCAGGGTCACACAGCTGGTATACAAGGAAATGGAGATTGAGACTCAGTTACTTTGACTCCAGCCTCAAGGCTCTTCCCACTTCACTCTTTACTACACTAGGCCCATGGGAGCCCTAGAAGAGGGTCACATTGATGTGATAGTGACGATGCAGCCCAGACCAGCGGCAGGGTGCTGAGTCTGGTGACAGGGCTGATTTGGCCACTTTGGAGGTGCACTCTGATGTCAGAGAGGGATGGCTCACTAGCCCTTATCTGGTCCATTACAATCACACTCCAGAGTCACATTGACACTTAACACAAAGACAATGTCAAATTTCTGAATCCACAAAAATCAAAGTTCAGCTGTAATATCTAGTAATCCAACTAAGGCAATACCTGGGAACTTGCTTTAAGGAGCCAGCCAGTCTCCTGATATGATATCCCTCTTGTTCCATTAAGCACTTAGCATGTGTTTGGAACTTTCCAGGCACTTAAACTTCAGCAGCACTTGGGTGTTCTGATTTAAGCGAAGTAGTCATTCCTTTCCTCACTGGTGATGCCATAGACTCTCTAAACACTTGTTAAAATTCAGATTCCTTAGCCCCCTTTGATTCTGATTCAGCAGGTTCTGGGGTGGAGGTGGCCAGGAATCTCTACGTCATTGTTTCTCAGATGAGTCCGTGATCAGGCAAGTTTGGTCAATATACTTCATTTATGCTAGTGCCTCTGTCATCAAAGCCACTCCTGTTCTTGCAAAACACTATAGGCCAAGGCTGAGAAGAAGACATCAGATGGATTTGTGGTGCTCGGGGTAGGGGAGTAGAGTGGCTAGTATGGACGTAGCTGCTAATGAAACAGGAAAGTCAGGGCCACACTGTGGGAACTCTCTGTTCTAGGCCATGTACTAGACCTTTGGTATCCACAGCAACCCAGCAGATAACATCTACACAGGTTTGGGGCTGACATGTTACACTTGAGCAGTGAAGCAACATAGAGTTTAGAGTACAAAGTGCAGTACAGATCACCCTTTTTTTTCCCCTTGCCCACCCTACAGATCACCCTTCAAATTTCACATCCACTCCCTCTGTTGTGCACAGAGCCACTCCTGTTCTTACAAATCACCACAGGCCAAGGGGGAACTGAGAACTGGGTAACTTCTAGATTAGCTTCAGACCATGAGGTACCCTTTCCTGTCTTCAGTAACCTATCTGAATATAGGTATTTAGTAATAAAGGTATTTATCAAGTTTCAAAAGCAAAAGAATTCAGACTGAGGTAGAGGCAACCCAAATGTCCATCAACAGATGAAGGGACAAGGAAAATGTGGTCTGTAAATACAATGGAACATTATTCAACTTTAAAGACAAGGAAATTCTGAGACATGCTACATGTATGATCCTTGAGGGCATTATACTAAAAAAAGCCAGTCATCACAAAAGAATAAATATGGTACAATTCCAATTATATGTGGTACCAAGAGTTGTCAGATTCATAAAGTAGAATGGTGGTTGCCAGGGGCTGGAGGAAGAGGGAATGGTGAGTTAGTGTTCAATGTGCAAAGAGTTTCAGTTTGGGAAGATGAGAAAGTTATGAGGATGGCTGCCCAGAAGTGTGAATGTACTTATGCCACTGAATTTTACACTTAAAAATTCTCAAAATGGCAAATGTCATTATATATATTTTCCCACTATAAAAAAAAAGAAAGAAATAGGGTGAAAAATGAAATCCCCTTCAGGTAAGGATCCTGCAAGGAGTTGCTCATCAGAGAGCAGCCCCAGGGCAGTGGCATCCTGGCTCTGGGCCCTGCTGGCTCCACACTTACATGCTGCAGCAGGCAATTCCATCTTGGCCACACTCACACTCCTGGCAGTTCTTAGTCTTCCACCGTGAGTTCAGAGGGTGTGTGACTCCATTAAGATCCCGACACTCTGAAAGAATACATGTGGCATGGTCAGTAGAGTCCCCACCTCATGCAACCAGAACAAGGCTTGTAGGACACTGGAGCCGGCCCCTGCCAGCTGCACCCCTACCCACGAGGGAGAATCTTATCGACTGTAAAGGCGCCTAAGAAAGTGCTTCTGTGTTCACTCACAGATAATTCACGCCGCTGATAATGTGTTCTTACGGCAAGTTTAAATCCATCCAGATTTTTTTTTCAGAACTGACACATCAAGAAAAAATAAGGCTCTCCTCTTTAATCAGATAGCCATTATGAGCCTGTGGATAGTTCAGGCCAAGTGTTTTGCTGCTGGGTTATCTCTGGACAAGTGCCTCATTTCTCCACTTCCCTTTGCTTTGCTTCCCAACCCCAAATGCACATGTGCAATATCTTGGGTATTTTTTTAAAACCTATTGTTTGCATTCAAACACAGAACAATTAAATCAGAATCTCTGAACATAGGGCCCAGGCTGCCGTATTTTTTGAAATCTCCCCAGTTGATTTAAATGTCAACCAAGGGCGGAACTGCCCACTGTAGATCCTCAGTGGTTGGAGTGTGCTTGAGGGACTAAGGGACTGGCAACATCAGCACCACCTGAGGCTGTGCTTGTTAGACTTGCAGACTTACACACCCCTTCCTGGCTCCCAGAATCAGAGCCTATCTTTAAACATGATTCCCAGAGGACTTGTATGCACATTAAATTGGGGAAGTACTGCTTTGGAATAATCAATGGTTTTCAATCCTGGGTGCATGAAGGAGTCAGTGAAGTTTTAAAATGTGCAGCTCCTACCCCAAAGATCGTGGTTTACCTGCTTCTTGGATGGAGCCTGAGCATCAGGAAGTTTCAAAAACCCTCCAGGAAGTTCCCCTACAGCTTGAGTCAAGAACTACTCTCTTACATAAATAGCAAATTGAAGTTCCTCATATTACTCCATTTCTATATCTGCCTTAATCCTCCTTCTCATGTAAATTCAAAGGCCTTCATCTGCCAACAGGTTACATCTGCCAGATTGCAAGAACATAATAAACACTGAAAAGCCAGGACTTACCATTAGATAGATTACCTGGAGTGTTCTCTCTAGGGATGACATAGCACTGGGCGTTGCATAAAGCCACAAAGGTGGTCAAAACCACAAGGCTTCTCAGAAGGGCACTCTGTAATAGAAAGGAGTGGGGAGGACAATGAATGAATTCAGATGGTAATCACTGACTGAGTGTCCTGCACAAGGATCCCTGCTGGGCTCTGGCAGGTGGTTTAAAGATGGATCTTCTACCCTCAGGTGATCTAGCAAAAGAACAAGATTTATACATGTTACTAAAATACACTGGAGAAAGAGCTAAATAGAAGTCAAAAGTCAAAAGGTAATAATGAGAGTGTGCAGATTTAGTACAGAGGGCCTCCAGGAAACCCTGGTGGATTACTGATTTTTAGCTGCTTTGCAGAGTATGCATAATTTAAAGGATAGAAATGAGGGAGTGGAAGAGAGTTTCAGGAAGATAATAAAACACTGGTAAAGGAACAGAAACAGAAAATGCAGTAAGAGATGGAGTTTAGTTGGAGTTCATAGACCATGAGGCTAAGAACTCTATTTCCAGATGATAAGGCCATCACTGATGGTTGCATGCACATTTCAGTTGGTGGGCTATTTAGGGAGGAAACCAAGTTAATTTCCTACTTCATTTCCCACAGTGAAATAATTTCTAAAAGGATTTGAAGGTTAATTTTTTACAGTAAGTGAAAGGAAAGGAGCGACACATAGCAGCAATTCACCGGAGAGTTCCGCTTTATTAGGGAAAGGTGCTGGGTTATATAGGAAGGGGCATGAATTGATTGAGGTGTCACTTCTACGGGGCTGTTGGCTGTTGGCTAGGTGCTGGGATTGGGAGGGGAGCGAGAGGTGATTGGGCTTCAGGTGGCGCCGCGGGAATTGAGGACCCCGAAGAGAAGCCGGAAGTTTGCCATCTTACTGGTGGGGACCCTTCATTCCCCTCTTTCTCCTCTATGGGTTTGTGGACGTTGCTTTCTCTCTGGCTGCTTCCTGCTGAACAGGGGCGGAGAAGGGAGTGAGGGCTTGAGGATTGGGAGGAAAGGGTTGATAGGACTCCCTGCAGTAAGGACGAGTAGATGTGGACTTCTTCAGGTTTGGAAATCAATGAAGGTTCCCTGTAACCATAGGTTGGCCAAGAGGATATGGGTGTCAGGAGCCAGGCGTCTGCGGCTATTGTTTCCAGGAACAGTTTCCAGTGGAGAGAGGGGTCCATCTCAGCGTGTGGTGAGGAGGTCACGTGAGGGTGAGGGATCTTCTGTGGCCAGAAGCTGGTAGTTCCTGAGTAAAAGCTGGTTGAAAGCTTGATTAGAGATTTTTCCGACTTGGGATTTGATGAACTTTATTATACAGGGTAAGAAGAGACAGGCGAGAAGAATGATTATTATGGGGCCTGCAATGGGCCAGAGCCAGGTGAGGAGGGGGTTTGTTAGTATTGACGAGAATGGGTTGGAATTGGAAGCAGAGTGGAGACTGGAGGCAAGGTCGGTGAGTTTGGTAATGTCAGTTTCTACAATGCCAGATTCGTTGATGTAATAGCAGCACTCTTCCCAGAGGAAGACGCAGGTGCCGCCCTTCTCGGCTGTAAGCAGATCTAGGGCCCGCCGGTTTTGAAGGGTGACTTTAGCTAGCGAAGTGACCTGTCTTTGGAGAGAGGCTAGAGAATCGGCAGTGGATGTCAGGGCTCCCTCAAGTTTGGCGTTGAGATCTCTAACTGCCTATAGAGAGTGACCCAAGGCTTCTCCCGAAAACCCTGCCCCAATGGCTGAGGTGATCAAAGAGCTACTGACCATGATGGGAAGGAAAGCAGCTCTTTTTGTGCGCGAGGGCAAGGGAGGTTGGAGCTCAAGGAATTCTGCCATGCTGTAAAGTGTAAACTGTGGGATTAGGGTGACGAGAATGCAGGGTGTATCGGAGTTGAGAGGCAGTGAGTTGAAAAGACTGCCATTACACTAAAAGAAGTGTCCCGGTTGCGTAAAAGTCTTAGAGCCGGAGGTAGGGGTGTAGATAGAGAGGCAGTGAAGTGCGCTGGAGGGGGGTGGAGTTGGGCCTACACAGTGGTGGATGGTGAGATTATCTGCGTATTCTGGTTCCCATAGGGGTATGTCTGCCAGGGGGCAGAGGGGTTGTCTTTCTGCATGGAAGGAGTAGTTGGAAATATTAAGGGGCACGGCGGCCAGCAGTGGGCGCTGTAGTGATGCGCACAAGAAACAATTGGCTGTGTTAAGGGTGTGGTTGAGAAAGATGGTGGTGTCCTGAATGAGCTGTAATGAAGAGTAGGAGAAATGGGAAGAGGGGTGGGGATAAGAAGATGAAGAGGCACTATCAAGAGTTTGGATAATGACTTTTTCGGAATGTCTGCTATCTGATGCAACTTGAGAGATCTGGGAATGAGAGGGAACATACTTTCGAGAGATATGAAGGGTACTGTGGGGGGTCGAGGACCCCCCATAGTAAACTGAGGCTGTGACTCTGGCAGCCCATCGAGAGTCCCAGGGATCTGGGATTGATAAGGAGAATGAGCTGTTGGGATATTTCATGAAACGGTTGGAGGAGTAATGCTGTGGGTACTGGAAGTTACCTATGTAGTGAATGGTGCAAGACTAGTAGGGACATCTCCCGTAGGTATCTGGCCATCGCCTGCAATAGGCTTGTTTTTGGTCATAGAGGAAGCAGAGGTAGGGAGAATAAGGGTAGCTGCTAGTGAACACTTCAGTGGAGGGAGGAAAGTGGAGGTATAAAGGCTCAGAGCAGCTTTTCAGAGGGCAGTCTGGTGTGGCAATGAGGGCAGTAACTTTTGTTTGATGCTGTGTGTAAGTCTGTCTGACTTTGAATCGCCATACAAAGGAGGCTGGGGTGGTGGGGAAGACAATAGGAATGAGGGAAAAAAGCGAGAGAGCAGTAAAGGAGGAAAAAGTCATGATTCGGGTATGGATGGCAAAGGGGGTGAACGGGATTTTGGAGGAAAGAGGACAGTAAGGTCAGGAGTCTGGAGGGAGGGAGAGTCTGTAAACTTTTGTAGGTTAAGAGATCTTTTAGGTGATGTGGGGACAGAATGGTAAGGGGCGCCCTGAATGTCAGTTTATGAGCTTCTTTCTGCAAGAGCTGTCTAGCGGCTAATGCTCGTAGGCAGGGGGCCCATCCCTGAACTGTGGGGTCTAATTGCTTGGAGATATAAGCTACTGGGGCAAAGCATATTGGCCTAGGACTCCTAGAGCTTGACTGGACCTCTCATGAATGTATAATGAGAAGGGCTTCGACAAATCAGGAAGATGGAGAGCTGGGGCTTCTACAAGGGCTTGACGGAGCTTAATGAAGGAGTGTCGGGGTGAGGAGGATAATGGTTCTTTAGGGGGGCTCTTGCTGAGGTTGTATAGGGGTCTTGCCAACAGGGTGCAGGGAGAAGTTAGGGATCTACGTTCTAAAATATCTAGCTAGGCTTAGAAAGGGCCTAGAAAGGAAAGGATTTTTGTCTTGGTTTTGGGAATGGGCAGGTCAGAGAGGAGCCATTTTCTGTCTAAGGTAATGGACTTTCTTTGTTGAGATAGAAGGAATCTGAGGTAAGTGACAGGAGGGGAAGAGATTTGAGCTTTGACGGGGGATACTCGGTAACTTCTGGAAGCTAGAAGGTTAAGTAGGGAGGCAGTGTCAAGTTGAGACTGTTCCCACGAGAGACTGCAGAGTAGAAGATTGTCTATGTATTATAAGGTGGACTTGGAGTGATCATGATGAAACTGTTTGAGGTCCTGAGCTAGGACCTGTCTAAAAATATGGGGACTATCTCGGAAGCTTTGTGGCAAAACTGACCAAGTGAGTTGTTTAGAATGTCTTGTGTATGGGTCCGTCCAGGTGAAGATGAAAAAATCTTGGGAGCAGGGGTCTAGAGGGATAGAAAAATGGGTCTTTGAGATCTAGGACTGAGAAGTGGGATGCTGAGGCTGTATGGATTTGGAACTAAGGGATGGATAGGGACAATGGCTATGTTGATGAGGCGAAGGTCTTGGACAAGGCGGAAAGATCCGTTGGTTTTTTTAACAGCTAATATGGGGGTATTAAATGGGGAGTGAGTGGGTCTGCTTGAATGATGGGTTGGAGGCCTATGAGGGCTGAAGTGGTTAGGGGGTATTGGGCCTGACAGATATACTGAGAGGGGTCACATAATTTGATAGAGGCAGGGGGACATAGGGCCACGGAGGGGCTTGTAATGTCCCAAACTTTGGGATTTACAGGGTGTATGAGGGCAGAACCGGAGCTTTCATTGGGTAGAGGGGGGTCGTCGGCTATGAGGGCCATCAGAAAGGGAGTACTGGGGGCTGTGGGAGTGGATATAGTTATGGAAACGTGGAGGAGGGAAAGGATGTCTCGTCCTAGTAAAGGGATGGGACACTGGGGCATAACCAGGAAGGAGTGGGAGAAAGGTATGGGATTGTCTTGGATTGTGCATAAAAGGGTGGGTGGGGGGTTTAATGGGAAAATCTGTTTACCTCCTACTCTGACTATAGGAGTAATGGCTGGCGTGGTAGGGCCCCGGTATTCTCACAAGACTGAGAAGGTGGCTCCTGTATCTAGGAGGAAGGAGATGGGGTGACCGTCTACTGTTAAAGTAACCCTGGGCTCCTGTTTGGTGATGGAAATGGTCGGGCGAGAAGCCCCCGGGCCCCATCAATCTTCTTCTGCCAGCCCCACTACGGCGGGCTTAGGATGGGGGTTGTTCGTCCAGCCTCCCCTTCGGGTGGTTGGGCAATCAGACCCCCAGTGGCCCTTTTTGTGGCATCTGGGGCATGGGGTGGTAGGAGATCTGGGGGAGGGGCACGCCCTTGACCAATGTCCCTCTTTTCTGCACTTGAAACAAGCTCTTGGGGGGGCTTGTTTGTAGAGGGGCGCCCAGGTTGTGGTTTTATCAGCTGGGCCAACATCTGGAAATTGGCCTGATCAGCCTTTTGTTTACGGCATTCTTTCTCCTCCTCCCGCTTATGGAAGACTTTAAAGGCCACTGTTAGGATCTCAGTCTGTGGGGTAGCGGGGCCCTGTTCTAACTTTTTGAGTTTAGCTTTAATGTCGGGGTAGCCTTGAGCTAGGAAGTATGTCATAAGGACATGTCTTCCTTCAGGTGTTTCTGGGTCCAGGCTGGTATACTGTAATAGGGCTTGAGTGAGTCTGTCTAAGAACTCGGAGGGGATTTCATCTCTCTTTTGAATTATGTCTTGGAGCTTTTGAAAATTGACTACTTTACAAGCTGCCCTTTTTCAGACCTGCTATTAAGCAGGAGGCAAAAATATCTCGAGAGCGGAGACTCATGGCGGTGTTATAATCTCAGTGTGGGTCTTGTTCGGGGACAGCAGTGGGGCCAGGGGGATAGGTGGGGTCAGTCCTGTGGGTTTCAGTAGCCTGCATTTGGGCGAAGTCCTAAACTCGTCTACGCTCTTCAGGGAGGAGAGTATTGGCCAGGAGCATGAAAATGTCATGATGTGTGAGGCTGTAAGACTGGAGGGTCTATTGAAACTCCCTGATGTATGTCATGGGATCAGTGGAAAAGGAACTTAGGCGTTTCTCTAGTTAGGCTAAATCTCTTAAGGAGAAAGGGACGTGAACGCGCACGATGCCTTCGGATCCTGCTACCTCCCGGAGGGGGGCGATAATTTTGGGAGGCTCTCGGGACTGAGTCTGAGGGGGACTGAAGGGTTCTGGCTCAGTCTGTGGGGGAGTGACGCGGTCTAGCCGTGCCTAGTCGAGCAGGTCCTGAAGTGCAGAAGGGGGGCAAAGAAAATAAAGAAAGATAGAATCGGACCCACATGTCGCCAGCTAGCAGCCCAGCTGCTTGCCTCTGCTGCTTTAGTTGGGCTTGAACTCATGACTCTGAGGTTAAGAGTCCCATGCTCTACTGAGCTACAGCAGGGCTCCAGTTAATTGCTTATGGAATGCGTTGTTTTCTATTCCTGCCACATCGGCAAGTGGGGGAAGGGCATAGCTAGAAGCAGGGGCGGTGTTTCTACACATCTTCAAGGTCTCCCTATTTTCAGAGTGAGGAGTCTTGGCAAGATATGTTTTTGTGGACAGATAACTTCTAAGGACTGCACCGGTTGTTCTCTAGCTTGTGCTTTCCCATGCTGCGTTCAGACATGGGGGGAGGTGCTTTCCCATTCTCTCTACAAACATGTGAGAAGACAAAGGCGGTCCCTAACAGGGGAGAAACAGGTGATGAGGGCAAAGACGGAGGAGGCCCCTGGGACCTAGTTAAAGGGGGGCTGAAAGGCTCAGGCTTAATCTGCAGGGAATGAAGGTGGAGGAGGTGAGATGGGGGAGGAGATGGTTGGGGAGGAAGGGAGAAGGGCTGTTGTAGGAGAAGAAGGGGAAGGGAGTGAACAGGAGGCTTCTGCGGGGGCGGCGGCTTGCAGGCTAGGAGAACTTGGGAGGGGGCGGGGAGAGGAGGAGGCGGAAAGCTTCGATATAGGGAATCTCCTTCCATTTTTTCAGGCGCTGGCAGTAGTTAAAAAGATCGCGAGTGATGTTAGGATCAAGAGTTCCCCCTGCGGGCCATTGGTTGTTATTGTCTAGGGGGTATGTCGGCCAATCTTGGGAGCAATATTTACGGAGAAGTTTTGGTTTTATATCAGGCATCAGGGAGAGGGTAGCCAGATGCTTAAGCAGGCATTCAAGAGGTGAACTTTCAGGGAGGGATGAGGAGGCTCCCATGGCTAAAGGACAGAGAAGGAGACAAACAGGGGAAGACGAACGGAGATCCTCGGACTGGAAGCAGACCACAAGGAGACAAAGGGCGTCCCCGATGATCCTTGGTGGTCTGCGGAAACTCGTATACGAGTCGGAATTTCTTGGGAAGTGTGGGTCGTCACCCAGACTTCCCTAAGAAGGCAGAGTGCCGGAGTCACGAGGTACCTAGCGCTAGGCGTTTTCGGCGGATGGAGCAGAAGGAGGAGGGGGGGAAAAGGGAGCGTTCTCATCCACAAAGGAGTCACCTCGTTTATGGCTGTTGGAGGGGGGTGCCTGAGAGTCAGCCGCAGCCGTGAAGGCCTGAGGCGGGGATTTATGACTGTCGGAGGAGGGGCCTGAGCGTCCGCCGCAGCCGTAAAGGCTTGAGGCGGGGATTTATGGCTGTTTGGGGAGGGGCCTGAGGGTCCGCCGCAGCCGTGAAGGCCTGAGGCGGGGAGAGTTCCCTCCTCATCCCCGAGCGTCAGGGCCTTGCCGGACGATCACGGTCAATGGCACTGCGATAGCTCGGGGAAGAGTGGCCCACTCCGGGGGGAAAACTTACCTAAAGGCCAGAGAGGAGTGGTGAGTGTGATGAGCCAGCGCCGGAAAAAGAGGACGAGGGCAAGCTGCTGCTGGTGTCGGGGGAAGACGGGGCCCAGTTGGGGTGTCCCGTCTCCCGGGTTTCGGCACCAATGAAAGGAAAGGAGCGACACATAGCAGCAATTCACCGGAGAGTTCCGCTTTATTAGGGAAAGGTGCTGGGTTATATAGGAAGGGGCATGAATTGATTGAGGTGTCACTTCTACGGGGCTGGTGGCTGTTGGCTAGGTGCTGGGATTGGGAGGGGAGCGAGAGGTGATTGGGCTTCAGGTGGCGCCGGCGGGAACTGAGGACCCCGAAGAGAAGCCAGAAGTTTGCCATCTTACTTGTGGGGACCCTTCAGTAAGATCATAAACTAATCACAGAAAGTACAAGTAAACATCTGTCTTATTCTAAGCATAAAAGAAAAAGAAAAGAAATAGGTTTGAATATGTAAAAGTCCTAAGTCCATAAAAAAAACTAAAAAGCAATTACCAAATTTGGAGAACAATATCATTATATGAAGAGTTTCTATCGTTGATGGGAAAAAGAAAAACATGCTAGTAGAAAAATGGCATTTCACACACAGAAGACACAGACCCAAACAGAAATGAGAAACAAACACATGAGAAAGTTCAGCTTACACAAGAAATATAAATTTGTAGCCAAAATAGAGCCATAATGGGATGGCAAGAATAATTATTTAATTTCTAATACCCACAGGGAAATAGAGACATATATGGAAGTAAAATTAAAGTGCACAAGGACGTTTGATCTTGTAACAATTTCTAAGGAGAGCAACTTGATAGTTATCTCCAAATTCTTCAAACTGACTATAACATTGAACTTCACCTTTTCACTTGTAAGACTTGATCCTGAGAAGAATGGTGCAGAGAAGGACATAGACTTCTCCTCAAGGATGTTGACTGCAATATGAAAATGGAAATAGCCAAAACGCCCAAGAACAGGGCTGGTTGAGAATGTGATGATTCAGAAAAAGAACAAAAAATCTTGATAAACTGAGGAGAGAAGAGAATATGAAATGACATGAGCAAGTGATCATTATTTGTCATTAAGTGAAATAATGCAGGTTACAAAACAGTCTGGGTGTGGTGATTCCTATGGTATAAAAAGGTATATGCAGAAGGAGATACTCAGAAAGAAACTGAAGGTTTAGTAACAAATTTACAAGTCATTTTTGAACTGTGGGATTATGACAGCTTTCCTCTTTGGGTTTTTCCTCTTATTTTCTGAATTGTCTACAATGAAATGCATTGGTTTTAGAACCTAAAGAAATAAATCGGTTCTTACAAGAAACCCTCAGTACATTTCACACACACCAGAACCTGAGATTGCCCTGCTCTCTGTGTTTCCTTCTTTTGCATAATCTTCAGCTTAAGGTCACTGTGAAAAATCTGAATTTTTTCCAAGAAAGAAAGGAAGAAAGGAAGGAAGGAAGGGCAAGCAAGCAAGCCTTATTGATAGTTTCTGTTCCCTTCATCCAGAAAGAGGGCCCTTGGTGGTGATCACAGTTATCTTGGAGGTCTTGTTTCATCAAGTCTGATGAACAGAGGAGTCAATGGACCAGGGTAGGTGAGAGGCACTGAACATCCAGACCCCCCGCAGCTCTGAGTGGAGGCACCCACTGAATGACTGTGGGATGGAGTCCAAACATGGTGGGGAGAGTGGAGCAAATTGTTTAGTTTTGAGACAGCCAGTTGACAATACCCCAAATAGCCTGCTCCTGGCTCTCTCTCCTCCCCTTGCATCCTCCCACTTGAGTGGGCATCAGAATGATCTTTTATCTGGTTTGCTAATAAGGAAACTGTCCCAGACTCATTGACAAAGATGGGGCCTTTGCATCTCACCAAGTCCCCCATATGAGAAGCACAAGAATGATCAAAAACAGTGCAGCTTTAATGTGCATATAAATACCTGGGAAATCTTGTTAAATAAAATGCAGATTTTGCTTGATGGGACTTACGAGTCTGCCTTTCTAGCAAGCTCCCAGGTAATTCCAGGGCTGCCAGTCAGAGTCCCACCCCTGAATAGAGAGGCTCTAAATCCCCTTCCTGTCTCCGTATTCTATTCTTCCACCTCCCTCCCTCCCTTCTTTGCTTCTTTTCCTACATTCAGTATACAGGACCCCCTGATAGGTGCAGGCGCAGGAAAGAGTGCAGCCATGAGGCAGACATTTGTTAGGTTTTCTAGACAGTGTGGCTTCATGCTCCACCTTGGGGTGAAGCAGGCTGTCAGTGCCCCTAGGAAGTGTGACCCTTTAGGTAGGTCTTGTTCCCTGAAGGATCTTGCCTGTGTAATCAAGAGTCAAGCTTCTTTAAGGGTCTTAAGAAGTGCAGGGGCATTGCTAGGCCTGCAGCTTACAAAGTACACTCAGAGGCTGGAGGAGGGAGGACACTACCCTACTGATTTTCTACCATTCCCAGCTCTTTCCCAAGACCACTTCTGAGAACTGGCCTGAGGGAAGCCCAGGGTCCATTCCCAAGGACGCTTTCCAACCTCACTTGTCTCTTCCTGTCTATTGGCCACTTCCTTCCTCTTCTCCTTTGCCCACCGACAGGAGCCCAGCTCATTCCCTTTTACTGCTTTAGCAAGGGACATTTTTTTTAAAAGATCAAATTTGAATTAAAGACAGAAAGGAGGTTTAGATTTGTAGATTTTCATGCAAAATTCTTTCTTAATACAACATGATACAGTGAAAAGGTGCCCAAGCTTTGCTGAATATTACAATCACCTAGGCAGCTTTCAAACCCCCTGATTCTCAGGCCTGACTGCAGACCAGTTAAATCAGAGTATCTGGGGTAGGAGTGAGGTAGTAGAAGTTTTCAAAGATCTCAGGTGATTCCACTGTACAGCCAAGTTTGGGAGCTACTGGCCTAATGATAAGGAAAAATTCTGAAATGTCTTAAATTAAGTGACATAAGGTCTGGAGAACAAGGAAAAGAGACAAGTGGTCATCAGTCAATGGCCTCAAGCCATAGCTAAACAGAAACTCCATATTCTTGGATGAACTCATTTCAACAATCATCTAGAAGGTCACCGAAACCACGTCACCCCCTTTCATGTGACCAGTGTCTGACCATCATCAGCAACCAATCCACAAGCCTTTTCTATGGACTAACCACCTATCCTCAGATTGTCTGCCTGTCTTGCCAATGGGTTTCAGTCCCGGACAAGTTCACTATGGATTCAATGAGGCCAAGGAATGACAATGGAACGTTCTTGGAGTGAAAGGGTTTATACCCAACTTTGTTCCCATGGTGGCAGGTCAATCACTAGAATCCTGTCCACTCAAAGCAAGTCTGCATGCAGCAAGCCAGTCTCTGTCTCTGGGTCTCTCTACCCCTGGGCCTCTCTACCCCTGCAGCCATCTCAGTCTCTATCCTTGGCACTGCCACCACTCCAGTCTCTGCTCTCCTGCAGCCGTGCAGCCATGCGGCCATGCCACTGTGTCACCCAGAGCACTGGGCGGAACTCTTTATATAGAGTCAATAGCAATGTATTGCCCACATGTGTGTAATGAGTAAGCTGACCAGGGCCAGGCAAGAATCCTGGCCATAAGAAGCTTCACTCTATCCACAACACCACTTTGAGTTAACCCACCTTCCTTATCTGTAGCCAATGTGAATTTGAAGAACTTTTTTGCCTTGAGACCCCTTGTAAATTTGCCCTGTTTCTTAAGTGGGCAGACAAGTTCCGTAACTGGCCTTGCTGCTGGTGAAGCAGATACTGCCTGTCCTAGGAGTCAGTGCCTATCTGGCTGCATCTGTAAGGACTCAATAGACCCTTTTATTTCAGAGATCTCTCAGTCTCTAGAATTTCTGATTTGTCACTAGAGAGAGGGACGCCTGGGTTCCACTCTCAGTTCTCCCACAGGCTCCTGGTAAGGCACCTGGGACAGCTTCTTCCCCTCCCCAGACTCAGTTTTCTTATCTGTAAAATGATACAGTGCAGTAGCTCTGAAATTACATTTGATTTCATAAAACACTCACTCAGGTCCCAAGAATTAGACACATATGAAACCTAATTGAATCCAAAAATCACTAGAAGAAATAGCAGCTCTCATCTTGCCAATTAGAAATAGTGCTAAATTCATGAGGATTTTCCCAAGCCCCTAGACTCCATTATACTCTCAACACACTGAATTGCAAGTAATATAGTAGATTCATAATGAGGTCACATTTACCATTAAACAGTAGCCAACAGAAACACATCACATCGTATTAAAATAAGGACACATCCTCTTTTTCTTTTCTGGCCTTTATGTATGAAACCAGTTACGTACCATTGTGTTGAGCAGGAGTCCTTGCAGGCATGTGCAACAGGGAAAGTAACACCAAATTTATATAGGAGTGAGGAACCACATTTCTGATATCATTAGGAAAGAACATTCCAAGGTCATATTCAATGTTGACAGAAGGTTTACTATTAACAGGAAACTGTGGTATCAGGTGAGTTATTCACGTGGTCTCCCTTTGTGTGTGTCTGTGTCCTAACCTGTTTTATGAAGACACCAGTCATATTGGATTAGGATCCACCCTAATGCTCTCTGCTTACCTTAATTACCTCTTTAAAGGCCCAATCTCCAATATAATCCCATTCCGATATACTGGGCCTTAGAAATTCAATATGATTTTAGGGGAACACAATTCAACCCACACACCATTTTATCTCCAAATGTCCCCTGCATTGCTCACTGCAGTGCCTCAAATGCCACCCTGGGTTCCCCTCTACCCAACAGAGGAAAGCTCAGACCTCTTAAGCAGTTGACTCACGGAAACTCTTCAGAGCTGACCACTGTGATCCTTTCTAGTGCCACCCTTTATCACCCTTACAGTTGTAAAGGAGGGCAGAGGGCATCAAGAGTCAAGAAAAAGGACTAATAACATTTAACCTAACTGCCTAAAGCATGGGCCACCCAGTTTTGAATAAACAACCCGAGGCTAAGCTTAGAAATGCACCTGCTTTAAGTTAGATAACTAGAAGTGGGCAACAGCCTGGGGGCATGATCCATGATAAGTCACATAGACATGCTTGGGTAAGCAAGAGATAACAATTGAAGCGGTCAGGCAACTGGAGTGTTCCCTAAAAGGTTACAATATAGAATGTGTTTTAAAATTATTGGTTGTAGAAATGCACGGGCTTCGGTGTAACGGCTGTGAAAATCCTATATAAGCAATACCTAAATTTGCCTGGGGGTCGGCAGCTCGGACTCGGCCTGCGTGTCAGGGGAGGTGCTGTTGACCCCAGCTTGCTGGCTGAATAAAGACTTTGCCTGTACTTACATCTCCATGCCTGTGTGCTTTGTTCTCTCGGGAAAACCCTGAGTTCCTGGACCCTAACACAGTCAGTCTTAACCATCCAGCACCATGTGGAGTAGCTCTACTCCTTGAAGGGCTGCCTCTACACTCAGCAGGGACTTCATGGGCTCCTGCACACTTCTTCTCTCCCCTGCATACTTTTTAACCACGCAGACCGTAAGTCCCTGGAAGTCAGGGGCACATTTGTCATGGTTTGGGGCCTCTCAGTGTCTTTTGAAACACCAAATTTAAAGAATTTCCCATAGTGGGAGTCCCGTCACACCCAGGTAGCAGGTAGGATTTGCCATCTAACATCCATGTCCCAGGCACATGACCTCAGTTCCACAGTCAGACACACTGAGCAGGACTCCTTTAGAGAGGATGCACAGAGACTGCTATGAGGCAGAGTCCTGCTAGGAATGACAGTGGTGGAGGATGCAGCTCCCAGGGCATGGGTTTCTGCAGCCTGTGCACAGGGGCAGTGGCAGGAGGGGCAGTGACCAAGACCAGTGGCAGTGGTGCTCTTTTTGTGTTCATATGTCTCATTCCCATTAAGCCTCATTCCCATTTTGTAAAGAATTGTTTTACTTTGAAATAATTTGATTCATAAGAAGTTGCAAAAATAGTACAGCAAGTTGCTATGCACCAGTCACCCAGCTTCCCCCTTAATATCTTAAAGAATATCTTAAATAACCATAGCACATTTTCAAAACCAAGAAATTGACATTGGTACAACAGTACAATGTGACAACTAAACTCTAGACTTTATTCTGATTTCATAAGCTTTCATATGTGCTTTTTTGGTGTGTCCAGTTCCCATTTAACACCATTCCTCTTGGTTTCCTGGGCCTTTTCCACCCAGGTTACTTTTGAAGCAGGGCTGGGTAAGTGGAGGCTCTATGGTGCAAATATGCAAATAGGGGGTGAGAGTTACTACAAGGCTGTTTGTGAATACCTTTGTATTCACTAGAGACTTTGTTCATTGTTTCACTAGCCCCTGGGCCTCAAGGGAGCTAACAGTCTGTCACAGAATAACTACACGCAGATTGGTTATTGGATGCAAAGCTTCTGCTCTGTGTTCTGCCCACCCAGCTCACTACTATAAATGCTGGCCCAGGAGCACGTAAGCTCTGTGCTTTGCCCCAGTCTCTTCCTCCACTCAAGTCACTGTTCTCTGGGGGCATTTGCCAGGCCATCCCAGGCTCCAATTGTCAAGAGAGAAAATACTCCATTACTCTCCTTTGAAATGGACTTTCAAGGCAACGTGATTTGTGCCAGTGTATTTAACATTGCTATATTTAGAAAGGACAAAATGAATAAACTTTCCTGGAAAGTTGACTTGGCAGTTAAGAATTTCTGGGGAGCCATCCTGGAGAGTTATAACATTCTGGGCTGTAATGCTTGGAGTCTGATTATATGGAGAAAAACACCACTGTTTTGCTCTTTGAACCCACAGGGTTGTACCAAGTTCCAAGAAGCACAGATATGAATGTCAACCTAATGAGGTCCCTTCATCACACAGGAGATGGAATAGGAAAAGGAACAACACATACAGAGAGACTGCCCATCAGCAGCACTGTAAGGGGTTTTCCGGGAGAGGTCACTAGGAACTTCCACTCTGCAGATGTGGAAATGGAAGACCTCTCTATCCCACGGCTCATAAATAAGAATACCTGAATTGGAACTAAGATTTGCTGGCTCCAAACCTTCACTGTCTCTGTTGACCACAGTGTCCTGCTTTAGAAAAACACTGCCTGAGGAGCCAGGAAAGCACAGAATCAGAGGAAGGAGATTTGGTGTAGGGGCTAAGACAAAAATGGGTTCTAATCCAGGTTCTACTTTGGGCATATTTCTTAACATCTCTGGCCCTTACTTTGCTGGTTTATCAATGAGGGGTGATGAGTCCCACCCCAAAGGGTTGGCATGAAAAATAAATGATTTAATTTGTCTAAAGCATTCATCCCAGAGCCTGAAGAAGGATGATGTCATAATTTTTGACAATGGCCAGTGGCGGCCAGGAGCTTGTGTGTCCCTCCTGGGGAGCCTGGTGGCTGGCGCCTCTTCCACTGTGGCAAGTGTTAGCAATGCCCTGCTTAGTTAGTTCTGTTGTTGTCACGTGGCACCTACCTTCATACTGGATATAGTTCCACAAGCCACACTTTACTCAGAGCCTACCCTTCCCATCATGAGACCTAAGCTGGTGATTCTGGGCTAAAGGGAAGATGGGAACAGTTGCCTTCCATAGGTGGGTGATCTTGGTACATACATGTTTTTACTAGCTGACTTCCTCTCAGAAGTAGCTTCAACTTCACCTTTGATGAGATCTCTTGTGACATCCTGTCATATTTTCTGGGTAAACACCTTTTCTGATGATCCCTTAACCTCAATTCCTGTAGTTCGGTCTTCTCTTCAGTAATTTCACAGATAAGCCTTTGAGAAAAGATGGGCAAAGTCCTGGCACATGCAGGAGTTTTGATGTCACATGCAATTTTTGATAAAGTTTTAAATGTCCATTCAATGCATTCTGATTGTACAGCAAATCTTTTCTCTTAAATCCCAATCCAGGAATGTTTTATTTTCAGAAATACAGCTTCCCCTAATTTAACCTGGGGTATTCATATTTACTAAATTGAAAGGTGGCTGGTCTTTTAATTAAACTAACACAGATTCCTGGGAGACAGATATTACAGACAAAACATTGCTAACCCTTTATGTGTATCTATTCTTTTTTCTCAAGTGGATTTTACAAGTGAGCCTTTGAAACTTCATTGTAACAAACTGTACTGTATCTGTTAAACAGCAACCATTGTAATCAGTTGCATCTCAGAGCTGAGGAACCCTCCCAGGATTGTGTGCTCTGACTTTACAGACAAGGACTGAGATTGGGGGATTCCACTGTAGCTAACAAATTGTAGAGCACCACACATTGTCAGAGGGAAATGGCTACAGTCAGAAAGCAGGGTAAAGGATGAATAAAGAATGAGAGTGGTCATCATCTGCAGTATAGAAATAGTAGGACCACCTGCTTACCTCCCAGGGCTATCATGAAGACTCAGAGAATGACAAATGTCAAAGAGTAAACATAAAGCACCCTATAAATTAGGCTATTCTTGCTACAATTATAATGAAGAATGTTTAGGAGTTCCTGGTAGACAACTGTTGGCCTAATTTTTTTTTTTTTTTAACAAAAAAGGGAAATTTAATGAGAAACATGACAGAATTGCAAAGAAAATACAAAAGTCCAAATGTAGCAGATAACAGAGCAGAAGAACATTAAATGGCTTTTAATAAAAGGATTACCCTGAACACTTCCTGCCACTGGAAGAGCAAAAATATTTTAATTATTTTATTACAAGGAGAAAGATTAGTTGTCACCCATAAACAAAATTCAACTGCACATTAGACGTGGATTTGGGAAGGAAGCTTTCAATGGAGAACTTGATTTGAATGCCATGTTTGTAAATTGATTACAGGGACATTGAATATTCTTCATTGACCATAAATCAGAACATCGATTGATATGAACGATCTCACATCAGTTAAGTGCTAGATATAAACAGACACCTTGAAAAAGTCACATAAGAGAATAAATGCGCTTGCAGCCAACCTGGCACCATACACTGCCCAGAAGACTGTGTTTCATCCTCTTCCCATAAGCTTGACTTTCCCTTTAAATCGTAGAGAGCCAGCTGGAGTATTGATTTCCAGTCTGCACGGAGCCATCTATTTGGGGTTTCACACTGTGCTTGCTGTCTGGATCGGGGAATGTTTCAGGGATGTTATTCTTGAGGTATATTCCGTATTTGCAAACCATCCTAGCTTAGTCCCATCTGTATCAGTCAGCAGCTGCTCTAATGATTGTTGGCCTAATTTTTAATCTCTTGGGATGAGCTGTCTGTGAAATGGGAAATGTTTTGCCAGCAGGAGCTCAGACCTGCTGACATTTGATTGATCAGGTGGCAGTGGGAGAGAACATGCCATTCTCTGCCACCACCTGAAACCTAGTAAGCTGTTTTAAAATAGGTTTGTAATCTAGGCTTTGAAGTGGAATCTTCATAATGGACATTGTTTCTTCATAACAGACCTAATTTCTCATGGAGCCTGTGAAGCCAGACAAGAATGGTCAAGGCACATCTCCCACTGTGCCACAGGCACACTCTTATATCTGCTAAGTTGCTGTTTCTGGGAATTTGGGCTACTGTGGTCATGAGGTGTCACCTCAGCTGGCTGCAGTTTGCCACACAAAGGAGGTGGACACCAATAGTCTGTTGGCCAGAGCAGGAGCTCAGCACCCCACCTTCCACTGTGCCCACCAAATCCCTGCCTGAGGGTCAGCCTTAGCTCTGCCTCGTAGAGCTGCTTGGTGTCTAGAGCCACATAGCCCTTAGGCTGATCCACAGCAGGATTGGGGTTCTAGGATCAGTGGGGTCCCCACTCACCTGTCTTAATAGTGGTCCTTCACCCTGCTGTCCTTCAGAGCCTTTCCAAATCGTTATCCCTTCTCTTAAACCTCCCACCTATGCGTGCCTCATTCACACCCATAAAATAATCTCACTTCTTATCTCACAGAGAACAGAGGTGAACTATCATCTGGATTTAGGAGCTTAGACTGTGTCAGGCCTTATGATAAAGTTTTCTCTCTCCAGAAACCAGAAAGAGGAGGCTGACCCTGGGCTATGTATTAATTTAGGCAGAGTGAATATTTTCATTTACTCTAAATTACAATAAGCCAAATCCCTTCCATATGCCGAAAGATACCACAGAGCGTATTTTACAGCCTCGGGGATGCTGAATGGTGGACCCCTCCCTGCACTGGACAGGGTGACTGTGGGGCAGAGATTCTGCAGTTCTAAGGGAAAGTCACAGTGAGACTGGGAAGCCACTAGTAAAACTGCAAGAACTGCCAAGGTAGGTTTCCGGGGCCATCGGGGGGGCACTGCAAATGCCATGAGCCTTGTCCACCCGGGGCTGCTGTCAAAACAACCTGCTTGAAGCTGACAAGCCAGGGACCAGGAAGACTGCTGGTAAATAATCTTTTATTCTTTTCCTGTAAGGCAACTGGAAAGTTTATCTGGAGGAGTGTAAAAACAACATATAAAAACCCAAAACAAAGATATGGAGCTAAAAACAAATACACCTGGGGTTAACCACTGAGCGACCAGCAAAACAAAGCCAGGTGCTGTTCCAGAGAAAGGGGAGGCCAAACATTCCATGGAGGCTCAAAGGCTTGTTTGTCAAGGGGGTTAAAGGTTATTTAGTCAAGGATTTTGTGTTTACAGCTTAGAACTGGGCAAAGACCCCAGCACCCCTGCCCTCCTGACCTGGATGAGGGTTGTCCCCAGGCACTCTTTGTGAAGGTGATGCTTGCTTGAAGATAAAGTGATGACAATAAGAGTTTGGTGACAGAGAGTTTGTCCCTTCTTTCTGGGGTGGCATTTAAAATGTTGAACAGTCAGCATGACCCAACCACTGGCATTAATGCAGGTGCCAGCAGTCTGTCTGGGGACCCTGCTGTGTCAGATGTCACCCCTTCCATGTCTGTGTCTGCTGAGGGGTGAAGGGGCCAGGATATTCAGCCTGGTGGGTGAAGATGCTTGGGGGCACAGGGTAGCGGCCACTTATCCAGCAGCACATCTGAACCGAGGCACACCAGCGTCACCAGTCCCGCTTCTCTCTTGTCAGGGAGCACCCACAAAGTAAGGGGGGCAGCCAGCACTGGAGGGAAGAAAGTCGAAAGTCAGTCAGCAGCCTTGAAGTCTCACTCAGAGCAGTGCCGTCTGGAAACACCTCCGGACTGAGGGCTGAGAAGGAGTAGAGCCAGAGCTGCCACACTGTGCCTCTTACTACTGCTTACATGCATTACCTCCCTCAGCTTTCACTGCAAAATGCGCATTCTCACTGCCATACTCCTGGTGGAATAACTGAGGTTTAGAAGGATGGAGAAATCTACATTTTCAAGTGTTAAGAAAGAGAAACATTTGAACCCAGGCCTGCTGCTCCTTTTATGGTTCAATATTGCCTCCCTCACACACCTGCCTGAAGGGCCTGCAGCAGCTGGATTCAAGTGAAAAAATTAAACACCATTAAGCCAGGGCCCAGCATGGCAGCTGCCACCCAGATGGGGCCTTCCGGCCAGGGGGTTCCACAGCCCTCCTCCTTTCCCTTCCTCCCATGACATTTGGCACCAGGAAATTTCAATAGAGGCTAGCCAGTCTAATGATCTAGGACAGAGTTAAAAGCCCTTTTTCTTTTATTTTTCAAAACCACCCTCCCTGAGAGGTGTTCACTAGGAAATGAGTGTCTGTCAGATGTTGTTGCTGATCCCTGTCGTGGTGGGCAAGCTGAGAAGGCATGCACTGCTACTCAACCCAAGATCTTGGGCAAGGGGCTCTCACCCTCCCCAGGGCTCAGATTCCTCTTTGACAAATGGGAGTCAGCCCTGCCTCGGAGCGGAAGCTCAAGCGCTTACATGGCAGGGGCAAGTTGGGTAACTAACGGAGGGAAGTGGGTGTAGTGTTTAGATAATAAACACGTAGGAAGAGCCTTCACTTCTGTAGAAAGATTTGCTTTCTATGTTTCTCTAGAAATGCATATCACTTCCTATCCATTTTATTTTATCTCAATTTTGATAAGCTCATATATACAGCAAATAGATTTTGTTGTCCTACCAGCAAGAAGGGGTTTATCATTTCTCTAGAAATGCATATCACTTCCAGTCTGTTTCACTTTATCTCAATTTTGATAGAAATATATGCACAGCAAATACATGTTATTGACCTTAAAAACAGAACAGTCATTTTACCAGCACAAAGGGGTTTATCCAGGAATAGTAGAGAGTTGTAATTCAGGACTGCTAATGAAAAATTTTACACCAGACTCTTATTAAGAATGGCAAGACAGGTTTTAATCAAACAACTGTAGTAGGTGAGACACACTGATACAAACTGAGCTCAACTCTATCAAAATAAAAGGCAGGAGGCTTTCTAAATGCTGGGATGTGCTGAAGGAAAAGTACTGGAGGACACTGAGGTAGGGGGCCATTTGGTCAATGTGATTAGGCCATGTGTCTTACTAATTGGTACTTATGGAAGTACCCTCCCACAGAGATGGGGAGACAGGGCCCTACCCTTCTTGAGGGTGACATTTCAAAGGGATGGCTCCCAAGTTCATGGGAAAGATATTCCTGGATTACGGAGGATACATCTCAAAGAGACGGAGAAAGGCTTTATCATTGCAACTTTTCTAAATAAAATGCTCTAAGGAAAGGGGTGGGGGTCAAGGGCCTGTTTTCAGGTTTTGCCTAGAAGAAACAGTAAATTCTTTTGACAGCATTCTGTCCCCCAGAGGAACCTGAGGGGCCAGGGCTGTCATTCTAGGGATGCGGCCTTGAACTGTTAGAAACTGTGCTAGTGTTTATCAAGTCTTTCAGTATGGGAGTGGACCAGACTGTGCTGAAGGTCTGCAGTTCTCAGAGGCCAAGGTTGAAGCCTAGGCAAGAAGGGGGCTTAGAGGGAGAGAGTTTTTGTCACTATAAAGCCACAGTAATCAAAACAGTGTAGTACTGGGATAAGGACAGACATTTAAACTGATGAAACAGAATTGAGACTTCAGAAATAAGCCCTACAAATGTGGTCAATTGAATTTGACAACCAGCAAGTATTTCCTGAGCTCTCACTGCAGATCAAGCATGGTACTCAGTATGGCGATTATTGAGATACTTAATATATGGCCACTCTGAAATAACTGTTTTGTAAAGAGAATATTTAGTGTTAAAGGATAAGCAGAAAGAAACATAGAGTACCAAGTAGCCATTCGTTTTCAGTTTTCCTACTTGTAAAATGAGGAGGTTGGACTGAATCATTATTCTCAAACTTTACAGCATGTAAGAATCACCCAAGAAGCCTCTGAAAATACAGATTCCTAGAACCCCACCCTGGAGAATTGAATCTCTTGGGTATGGGACCTAGTATCTGCTGCATTTTAGCTAGGCACCTCACTCCACTGTGATGCAGGAGGTCTGGGGAGCATATGTAACAAATATTGGCCTAATATAAATAAATAACATTTATGATATCATGTGATACTATTATGTTTTTTGATACTCTTATGTTTTTAAATTAAGATATAGGCAGTTGCTATAAAACTTTAAAAATGCATGCATTTACCCTTCAGCTATATTGGCAAAAGTATGCCAAAAACGTAAGTACTAAAATGATCATGATAGCACCGTTTCTATTAGGAAAGAGAGAATCTAAATACCCATCTAAAGAGAACTATTTAAAAAATTATAATAGTCATTATAAAAGACTACTAACACAGCTGTCAAAAAGGGTGAGGTGCTCTCTGTGTACTTATATAAAAAAGAACTCCAGGTATAATTTGAGGAGTTAAAAGCAAAATGCAAAACACTGTGCATAGCAAATACTACTTTCCAAAGATGGCCATGACAACATCTGCTCTTCTGCAATGTAATCTTGTCTTTCTACCATGAAGAGCAAATTCTCTTCTCCACCCCTACCCGCGATTCTGGGCTGGCTAAGCAATTTGCTTAGTCAATGGAATACAGCAGCTGGGATGTACTGGCATGTCCAAGTCTGTGTCCTAAAAAACCTTGTAGCGTCTGCCTTGGTCTGTTGAAATGCTCATTGGTGACACTGTCTCTCAGAATCCACTAGCCAGGCTTGAGAAGCCCAAGCCTCCTGAAGAGACCACATGCCTACACGTTTCTCTGTCAACTCAGCTGAGCCCCAGGGGACACAGTCCGACTGCCCAGCCCAGATCACCTGATCTGTACCTCCACAGCCATCTGACTGCAGCTGCATGAGTGATGTCCACAAGAGGGAACCCCTCAGCTGAGCTCGGTCAACCCACAGAATTGGGAGAGAGAATTAACTGTTTGAAGCCACTAACTTTTTGGAGCAGTTTGTTACACAGCAACAGGTAAGTATAACACGAGTATAACTTGATTGTTTGCATACTTTTAAAAGATAAAGATTTATGTGCTGACATAGACATAAAAACATTTCTGAGAATATCTCCATTCCAAGAAATGAGGCCACTCAGTTGCTCAGGCCAACGTACTTGGACCTATCCCAGTCTCCTTTTTTTCTTCACCTCCCACATCCGCACCAGCATTCTCTGCTCACTCTATTTTTACAACATATCTTGAATCCAAACTCTTCTTACTACTTAAGCCACCATACCATCATTTTTCACGTGAGCTACAGTAATACCCTCAAAACTGCCTCCTTACTTCCACTCTCACCCTTTGGCAGAGAGCAGCAGACTTGACTTTCACAACATGTATACGATCAGTCACTCCAATGGCTCTTTACACTTACAGTGCAGTCCAAGGTGCTGACCTTGCTCTGCTGGAACTGGCCCTCAGCTCCTGCCACAGTCCCCTCGGTACTTTGATCTGGCCACTTTGGCCTTCTTGATGTTCCTCAGACCAAGAAAACTCTCACCCCTGGATTTTGCACTTGTGCTCTCCCTTTCTAGAACTGCTCTTTTCACTGATCTTTATAGGTCATAGCTCAGAATAGTCCTTTGCTCACTCACATCACTCTTTTGTCCACACTGCTTTTAATTCATAGCATTTACCATTACCTGACACTATTTTATGTGTTTGTTTACCTGCCTTATTCACTAAAGTGCAAGCATCATGAAACAGACTTGACATATCTTGCTTACCACTGTACTCTCAGCACCCAGAACAGTGCTTGGCTCATAGTAGGTGTTCAACAAGTGTTTTTAAATGAATAAATGAATGAATATTAACCATAGTTACTTTTGGGATGAAGGGTTGGAACAGAGTAGAAACTTCATTTTTCATTTTACACTTTCTGTACCATCTGAATTTTTCTAATTTCATGCATGCATTACTTTAAAAAAATACTAATATGGAATATTGGGAATTGGGATTTGGGACTATATTTTTTCTTTGCATATTTTAAGAATGTTAATAAATGATATTTTAAAAAATGGAGTCAGAAGGCCTACAATTTAAATGCTGCCTTTTGTCTTTCCAACAAAGTCCCTTATATGGAACTTTTTGGAGAGGAGTACCAGGGTCTAGGTAAGTGTTAGGGGCACTAGGGAGGTGGGTAATCATGTTGAGATATAATTAAATCTCCCTACAGGCTTTTGTTTTTGAGATGGTCAAAAGCATTTTAATATTTTTAAGGCTCATTGTAAAGTCCTGTAGAAGACAGACAACACATGGTCAGCTGGGTCAGCTATTTGCAAATACTGGGAAATCATAGTTGGGGTGGGGATAATTTACATTATTGGAAAATAAAAGGCACTAGTTTTAGGCAGGTTGTTATGGACTGAATGTGTTCTGCACTGACCCCTTACCCCCAATATATATTGAAGCTCTATTCCCCAACATGACTGCACTTGGAAACAGGGCCGTTATGTAAGTAATTAAGGTTACATGAGGTCAGGAGCATAGGAACTCCATGATGGAATTAATGCCCTTATAGAAGAGATGCCAGAGAGCTCCCTTCTCACCAAGTACGTGCACAAAGAAGAGGTCAAACGAGCTGGCAGCTGTTTACTAGCCAAGAGATAAGGTGCCCTGCCAGTACCTTGACTTGGACTTCTGAGCCTCCAGAACTGTGAGAAATACATTTTGTTGTTTAAGCCGCCCAGGTGGTGTATTATGTTATGGCAGCCCAAGCAGACTAAGACCCTAGGAAAGAAAAAAAAATCCAAATGCAATAATTTGTTTTTAAGTTCCAGCCATGTTTGAAGTAATTGACAATAAGTATACTTTATGAACCATTAAATCTCCTAGACAGAGTATGTGACTCTTATTTCTCCTAATTAGCTGGTCATGGTTTGTAATTCCTGACAAACATTAAGGTTTTGATTTTAGAGAGTTTTTATCTTTTCACATAGAATGACAGAAAAATACAAAAGAAAAAATGTTGCCACACATGATAGACCATAGTCAATTTTAGTCTTACTTGAACCTTGTCTCAACTTGATTACTTAGTAATATGAACTTTACACTTAGCTTCCTGAATTTAAATATTCTGTATCCTTATCTAGGAGAGGTGTTTCACCACCTGCTTCTTAAAACACTTTCAGATACAGGTGTTATCCTTTATGATGTTCTTTTATTTAACCTTTCTTAAGAGTTTCACCTATTGTTTGTTTTGTTTTCAAAGAGCATTTTTAATTTTATGCCAAATATTTATTGAGGAGTCACTTCAGGGCAGACACCTTCTTTGGCACTGTGTGTATCAACCCCATTAAACACTCCCCAAAACCACATTATAATCTCCATTTGACGGTTAGGGAGACCAAGGCAATTTGCCCAGGGTCTAGTAGCTTATCTGGATGGAGTCAGTATTTAAATTCACTTAAATTCACCCTACAGCCCCAGTTCTCAGCCATTCTACTCTATGCTTGCTCAAGTGTTGTGGCTCCCTGCTCCAAAATGTGGACTGGCTTCAGTGACAGGAGGATGAAGCCTGGGACCCCTGTGAGTCTTCCAGTCCTTAAAAAGCAGTGCTGCATAAGGTAGACACACTAGGTAAACTTTTGCTGAATGAAGGGATGGATGAAAAATGAATAAAGAATGTCTGCATAACTTAATTCCCTTTATGTATATTGAAGAAGTTTCTCTGGACTCGTTAGATCCTGGCAATCTTTTATGTGAGCATAAAGAGTTTATAAGTTGCTTTTGTACATACCTGACTCATTGAGCCTCATATCAAAATGGGCAGATTGGTAGGAAAGGTATTATTTATTTTGAGAAGTAAATGGTCTTGGAGAGAAAGTGCAACCTACCTAAGTTTAGATATGTAGCTAGTCGGCATTGAGAAGTATAAAGAGAACAGGCCAAGTACATCAGACACGACTGAGCCCCACATCTTGGCTCTGCCATATGTGACCTTAGATAGGAACTTAATGTTTTTAAGCCCATTTGTTCATTTGTAAAACATGTGCATTTATGACAATTCTTCAATGTTGTTGGGAAAGTTTAGATTAATATAGGTAAAACTCACACTATGCACCCCATACTTGTCACATTTATGATTTTTTATTCTGAGTCTAATGCCTTTCTCAGAGTATCAAAGGGCCTCGCCTTGGCCTTGTGTAGGGATGTGTCTTGTGTGTTCCACCAAATGGAAACTAGTTTATGTCAGAGCTGGGAAGCTTTAAATGTCAAGTGCCTTTAACAAGAATGTACAAGCAAACAAACACATAAACATAAGGGCATGCATTTTTGTTTAAGCAAGAGTACAGCAAGAGACAGTGAGGGGAGGTGATACTCTCTTTCACAAGTTTTAAGCAACCCAAGGCAGTATTTTAAGTGCAGGAAGAGAACTTGGGATACAGTTTCAAGCTGGTGAAATATCTGGCTAGCTTCAATGGAAATGAAAGTTAAATTTATACAGGCCTTTATGGCTTCCTTTACATTGCCCTCTTTGTTTTACTTTTGTAGTTCAATTGTACCCATTCTGCAGATGGGTATGCTGAGTGACCTTTAAAGATAATTAACCAATTAGTGATTCAATCCAGTTGTAAGTTTTTCCAAAATTAGATCTCCTTCCACATCTGTCCTGCCTCTCACCTACTACATGAAGTGCATGGGCACCCTTTTCCCTCAGACTATTCAAAGTGATGCACCAGTTCTCACCACACAGAAAGGAAGAGTCGCTAGAACCCCTGGAATCAAGCCCTCACTCCTGAGGTCTGAGATGGACACTGAGAAACCATCCATAAAGTACTAAGAGAAGTACAAATAGTATTTGATTTATTATGTATTTATTAATGTATTACATTTCTTGTACAATAAGTGTACTAGGTTGCAATGATGTTTGAGGACATGGCCTCCTATCCTCTCCAGCTAACCTCACACTGTTCGGTCAGTACATGCCCCATCTTCCATGCTGCTTGGAAAGATCCTTCTCATTCCCTTCAGACCCAGGTGCTCTGTTCTACAAAGTGCCCACTCTCATCCCATCAAAGGATCTAACCCCTTACTGCTTTTCCAGTCATTTTTCTTTCTCTTTGTCTCAGCCTGCTACACTATCAGAAAAGAAAAAGAGAAGGTAAATAGAGATATTTCCTTATTTGGTTTGACCTGATGTCAAAAGGGGAAGGGACTAAGGTAGATAAATAATGATTATATGTAAGATAAATAAACATAAATACTGTGTTTATTTCCCTCAAATCAACTGGAAAATAATGGGCTGCTACTGATAATTAGCTAAGGAGGCTTACCCCTTCCTCCCACCCTACTCTACTTTCTGGGCTAAGGGTAAGATGTTTCCTCAGTAATTTAGAAAAAAATGACTCAATGCTCAACTTTTAATTTCAAGACAGACTTTCACAGCCTATGGCAGAGACAATAGCTTTAGGAGAAAAAGGCTTTAGGAGCATCAACAAATCCAATTCTTAGCCTGAACACTAATCAAAAACTACCTAACACCAGCCAGACTCAGTGAAGATCCTGTGGCCTGGGGTAAAGAGAGAGCTGGAGAGCAAAGTGAGTAAGTAAAGTAAGTCAGCAATGTGGGCCCCTAGAAGGTAGCTCTGTGTCCTACCCATTACCCCATGTAGGCTGGGAAGCAGAGAAAAGGGTAAAGCCATAGAACCCTTAAATAAGTGGGAAAGTCTTTGAGCTGGGGCAGGAAAGCTGTGCTCACTTCTCAGGGGGTCCAGGGAGAACAAGTCAGGTCTTCAGGAATCCCCATACCACAGTGTATGGTGACAGCAACAGCATGGGGCAAAAGCTGCTCCATGTCCTGGGCTCCCAGCATAGTGGGGGAGTGCATATAAAGTGGCCCTGTGCCCTCTGAGAGCTGTTGGGCCTGCAAGAACCTTGCAATGAGGACAAGCAGAACTCTGAGTGCATGGAGGGATGTATCTGGAAGCATTTGCAGATGTGTTCTCATGCTCTGTAAGTTCTGTTGCCTCATGGTTTTCCACCCATCGAGTCACAGATGAGGCAGATGCCACCTTGAATAAAGGGGTCATTGCTCTGCTTTGGGCCTCAACACGGGTTTCTGGTTTGAGTTCCTACAAAGGCAATAATCTTAAGGTTCAGGCCTGGTACTTAAGATATTCAGAGCTCCCTAAGATGAGGATGACACAGTCTAGGTTTGTCTGTTGTCCTACATTGTTTTGAACATTTTGGAGTAATGGAAATGTTCTAAATTTTTATTATGGTTGCAGTTACATGACTCCACGCATTTGTCAAAACTCATCCAACTGGATACTTAAGTGAGTTTTGTTGTATGTAAATTATACCTCAAACTGATTTTTTGAAAAGACACAGGATGCTGAAACTAGTGAATGGAAGTTTAATGAGCTTCAGAATGTTGTATCATCTCAAAGTATCCCCTCTAAGTTGCTTATTAATTACAATAGAAAAATGGTGATTTTCAAGGACACTAAGTGGTACCAGCTTAACCAAGTAATCAAAGCTAATCACAATGATGGAGTAAAGATGAGCCTCCTGCCATGATGACCTAAGGACATTCTTTTTCAGAGTTCCTGCCAATCTCCTCCACCAATGCATAACTTAACCTAATCACAAGGCAACATTGGACAAAATCAATTCTACAAAATAACTGGCCCATACTCTTCAAAAATAAAAAGACCAGGAAAAATGAAAAAGAGGCTGAGGAGCTGTTTCAGATTAAAGGTAACTAAAGAAATATGATGACTAAATGCAGTCTCTGATCCTGGACAGGGTCTTGGACTTGAAACTAGAATATTGGGATAACTGGTAAAGTTAAAATATGGATTGTGGATTAGATAATATTATTTTATCAATGTGAAGCTTCCTGATTTTGATAAATGTACTGAGGTTTTAAAAGAAAAGTCCTTGTTCTTAGGAAATTCACACAAGTATCCATGAATAAAGGGGCATAGCAAATGCAAATAACTCAGATTGCTCAAAAAATGTGTGTGCGTGTTGGTAGAGAGAGACAGAGGCAGAGGTAGAGACAGGAAATGACAATTCAAATAGGAAAAGATGTTAACACCTGAGAAATCTGGGTAAAGGATATAATGTTTTTTGAACTATTCTGTAACTTTCCTGTACGTGAAACACTCAAAATTAAATTATTAACTAAACCACTTAATGGTCAATAAGTACATGAAGAGATGCCCCACATCAGCAGACATTGGGAAAATGCAAATCAAAGCAGCAGTGAGATACCACTTTTCACCCACTGGTACAGCTATAATAAAAAAGACAGATAATAACAAGCATTGCCAAGGATGAGGACATATAGGAATTGGATGGCAATTCCTAAGAAAGTTCAACATAGGGTTACCATTTAACCCAGCAATGCCAATCCTAGGTATATACCCAAGAATATTGAAAGGCATACAAATATATACTTGTATGAATGTTTATAGCAGCATTATTCACAATAACCAAAAGATGGAAACAACCCAAATGTCCATCAGTGGATGAGTGGATAAATGAAATGTGGTATATCCATACCATGGAATATTATTCAGCAATAAAAAGAATGAAGTATTGATGAATAATAGAATATGGATGAATTTTAAAAACATTATGCTAAGTGAAAGAAGCCAGTCACAATAGACTATATAGTATATGAGTTCATTTGTATGAAATGTCCAAAACAGACCAACATATAAAAAAAGAAAGTAGAATAATGAGTACCAAGGACTAGGGGGATGGGAGACTGGAGGGTATCCTTTTAGGGGTGATAAAATGTTCTAAAATTGATTCTGGTGATGGTTGTACAACTATGAATATATTAAAAATGACTGAAGTGCATACTTAAACAGTTAAGTTATGGGTATGTGAATTATATCTCAGTAAAGCTGTTAACCAAAAAAACTGTTTTCTTTCATTCTACAAAGTGTTCCTATTTGTATTATAAATTATATACTCACCCCACTTAAGCTTTATGTAGAATTGAAAAGCAAGTCTGACTTTATCATAGAGTTTGACTCTTGCAGTAGAAAAAACTTAGGTTATGGAATACAGGAAGTTTCCATAAATAGTTCTGCAAACAGCCTGTCACTTCTGGCCTGGAGGAATGAAGAAAGGGGGGAAAAGCAGAGTTAATAATAATATCAATAACAAGAATAATAACAGCTAACATCTATTGATTGCATACTCTGTGCTGGGTATCATGCAAAGTGCTTTTACATATAAAGAGTTTTCCTTAATTCTAACAACATTCATTTGAAGAAATCAAACCTAGCATTCTGTCCCCATTGACAATGCTCCTAGGGGAAGCAGTGTTGAAACATATGGTTTCCAACCTCTCCTTTCTACTCCAAACTCCCAGAAGGGATGTGGGTGTAAGATATTATTGGGTACACCATGCACTCCCAATTTTCTTCTCCCTTGTAACTTCCTCCTGGAGAGGCTGGAAAGTCAAATACTCTCTTTCTCAGCCTCCCTTAAAAACCACAAATGGCCCTGTGACTTAGTTTTGGCCAATAAAACACAGATATAAGTTTCACAAAGTTGAAAAACACTTTGTTTTCAAATAAAAGGGACAGCACAAGAAGAGAGATGTTGGTGCTTCTTGGTTCCACTTACTCCTTTCTTGAACATAACTGTGAAGTCTGGGGCTGAGGCAGCTGTCTTACGATAATTAGATGACAAGAATTGAAAAAAATATGCTAACAATAACAGAAAAGATAGAAAGGACCTAGGCTCTCAATGACATCACTGAGTTGCCAAAACATTCCTGATACTTCCTGTTCCATAGTTTGCAAATAACCTTGTGATTTCTATCACTGTTAGTTGGGGTTTCTGGTACTTGAAGACAAAAGCATTCCTAATCAACACAACAGATTAGATTAAGGGGAGAGCCCAAAGCAGAGGGGCTCTGTCCTTAAATTCATCTTGAATTGAGGTCACAGGACAAACTACTACCTTGAAAACTGGAGAAACAGAAATCAGGTACAGAGAATCATAGCTAACAGGGAGCAGCAGCCTTGTAGCAGAAGCCCACAGCTGGCACCAGTATGGGTAGGGACACTTCATGATTGATAAATTGCTGAAGGCTCAGTGTAGACCAGTTTAAGAGTTAAAAACTCTCAATCAGTCTTAAAGGAGCCCCCACAATTTTATGAGTTTTACTTTAAGAGCCCAACCAGATTCTCACTGTGAAGATTAAAGAACAATCCTTTCTTCTTACGGCAGAGGGAGAAGAAAAGTAACCATTTTGAAGTAAGCCCAGAGTTCTTTTTTTCTCCTTAACAGGGTAAGCTCTTAAGGGAAACTATTTTACCAGAGTCTAACTGACTGGTGTTCACAAAAGCTGACCAACCTAGAGCGGAAATGTCCAACTCAGGCTCAATAGAAGACTTAAACCTAATCATAAGTTTATGGAATGCTTCCCCTCCTACCATAGCTTACCACCACATCAGTAGAGTTCCTGTGTAATAATAAAGGATTACAGCTAAAAGAAACACAAGCCTCAGACCCCCATTTAAGGAGTCTCTAGGAAAACCCAAAGACATCAGGAAAGACAATCACAAGTTCACTGAAAAAATTTTAGTCTCTGACACCTATAACGATAGCAAACAGTAAATGCAGCTTAACTCCTAGCCAGATAAATATAATATTTCACAATAAAGGCTTACCTACCTTGATTCCTTTTACTGATATATTATGCCATGCTTTCAACAAAAAGTACAAGGCATGTCAGAGCAAAAACACAGTCTGAAGAAACAAAGTGAGCATCATAGCCAGTCCCATGTATGGCAGGGATTTTGGAATTATCAGACTGGGAATTTAAAGGAACAATGACTACTGTGTTAACAGCTGTAAAGGAAAAAGTGGAAAACATGCAAGAACAGATGAATAATGTAAGCAGGGAGATGGAAATTTTACAAAAGAATCAAAAGAAAATACTAAAAATGAAAAACACTAACAGGAATGAAGAATGCCTTTAATGGGCTTATCAGTGGCCTGTACACAGACAGGGAAATAATCCCTTAGCTTGAAGATACATCAGTAGAAACTTCCAAAATTGATAATGCAAGGAGAAAAAGGAAAGAAAAACAGGACAGGATTTTTAAGAACTGTTGGATAACCACAAAAGGAATAATATATTCTTAATCAGTCTACCAGGAGAAAAAAGAGAAATGAACAGAGGAAATATTTGAAATAACAATGACTAAGAATTACTAAAATGAATACCACAAATTAAACCACAGGTCCAGAAAGCTGAGAGAACCCTAAGTATGATACATAACAAAAAAATCTATATTTTGGCATGTAAATTCAAACTACAGAAGATTAAGGACAGAGAAAACCTTGAAAAAGCTGGAGAGGAAGAATCTTAGAAAGGAACAAGAATAAAAATTTCATTGGATTTCTCTTCAGAAACCAGACAAGCAATAAAAGAGTGGAGAGAAATCCTTTAAGTGTTAAAACAAAAAAACACTAACCTGGAATTATGTATCAAGCAAAATTATCCTTCAAAGTTGAAGGAGAAATGAAGACTTACTCAGACAAATAAAAAATGAGAGACTTTGTTGCCAGCAGACCTGTTGTAAGAAATGTTTGAGGTTCTTCAGAGAGAAATTAGAAACCTGAAACCACATAAAGAAAGGAAGAGCAGTAGAATGAAATCCTGTATTTTTCTTATTCTTAATTGATCTAAGATAACATTTTGTTCAAAATAATAGTAGTGACCATGTGTTCTGTGATTATAACTGATGGATAAGTGAAATGAATGATACAATGTTCTAAGGGGTGGGAGGGAGAATTTGGGACCATTCTGCTATAAGGTATTCACACTCTCCATGAGGCAGTACAGTGTTGTTTGAAAGTGAACTTGAGTAAATTACAAATATATACTGAAAACTCTACGACACTAAAAACTATTAGAACTAATAAACAAGTTCAGCAACATAGCAGGATACAAGATGAATATACTAAAAACCCATTATTTCTATACAGTAGCAGTGAAAAAATATAATAGCACCAAAAAGAATAAAATACTTAGGAATAAATTTAACAAAAGAATGTAAAGCATTGTAGATAAAATGAAAGTTCCTGTGGCCAGGATTCTCACCTGGCCCTGTTTGGCTAGCTCACTACACACGTGTGGGCAATATGTTGCTACAGACTGAAAGGGTATCTAGCCACAACCCTCCTTACCCAGGAGGGCTCAGGAGACACGGGCCCATGCAGGAGATTTTATTATCTGAAAGAGAGAGTGGCTGCCCCAGAGGGAGAGGGGGAGGGGGAGAGAGAGAGAAAGAGAGAGAGAGAGAGGGATCAGAGAGAGAAAGGGAGAGAGACAGCAGAGAGAGCGGTGGGACAGAGAGAGCAGAGAGCAGAGAGAGAGAGGGAGAGAGAGGAGGGAGAGCAGGGGGACAGAGAGACAGAGACAAAGAGAGAGAGGGCAGCAGTGTGGTACAGAGTGGTGTGCCTTTTCTTGTGGAGGATCTGCTCAGCCTGTTGCCTTGGGGGAGGGTCGGGATGTTTAGAGATAAGGTGGGGTAAGCCCAGGCATAATTCTTGCCAGCTTATGTGCTTGGGACCATGGGGCAAATGGAGGATAAATTACTATTTTCTTATACTGACTCTATATAGAGCTCCATCCAGTGCTCTGGGCAACATGATGGCATGGCTGCAAGGCTGCAGGAGAGCAGAGCAGAGGCTGGAGTAGTGGCAGCACCAAGGACAGAGGCTCAGAAGATGGCTGTGCGGGAAGAGAGGCCCAGAGGCCAAGACCGACCTGCTACATGCAGACTTGCTCTGAGTGGATGAGATTTTAGGAACTGACCTGCCACCGTGGAAATAAAGTTTCACCCCAAGAATGTTTTACTGTCATTTCTTTGGTCACAGAGAATCTATAGTGAATTTGCCCAGGGCTGAAATCCACTGGCAAGACAAACATATACTCTGAAAACTATGAAATACTGTTGAAAGAAATTAGACAGATATAAACTGAAAGACATCCCGTGCTCATGGATCAGAAGATTTAATATTGTTCACCTGGCAATATTCCCCAAATAACTAACAATCTTGAAACAGGAAAATAAATTGTACTCACACTTGCCCATTTCAAAACTTATCGCAAAATGATGGTAATCAAGACAGCATGCTACTGGCACAAGGATAGATATATATAGACCAATGGAATAGAATTGAGAGTCCAGAAATTAGCCTTTGCATTTATAATCAATTAATTTTGCACAAGGGTGCTGAGACAATTCAATATAGTACTGGTGAGACAGGGACCATAGATGTAGTCAGAGTAGGCTGGAGGAAGGAAAAACAAGGACATCAAACAGAACAGAGAGATGCCATAGGGGGAGAACAGACTAGACCCCAAGGTCCGTGCCTTATATTGAAAGGGGACAGCTCTTCCTGAATTCCATCCTTCTGATGTGCCAACTAAGACCCAGATGTCAGCCTCCTCCCTCTTGGGAGGAAAAAAAGTTTCTAGTTGTCTATTATGTCACCTTTAGCCAATCATACCTCTCCATGCCCCCTAGGATACCTTGCCCACTCCTCCCCCTCCTAATCCCTTATAAGCCCCCACCTCCCTGACCGGGTGTGATTTCCCAGCCTGTAATACCCAGACTGTGGAACATCACCCAGGAGTGGCATTCAAATAAACTACTTGACCCTTTGTTGCCTCTCTTTGCCTGCTTATTTCGGCTAAAATTTATCTTACATTTGGTGCTGAAACCCGGGAAGGAGCGTGAGCACGGGGCCCCGACTGGACACCGGTGGCCTGCCCCCTCCTTCCCCGACCCAGGACCTCAGCCTGCTCTCCGCTACATGGACTATTTTCCGGTGAGTCCCTCAGTTTCCCCCAGTCTGTTTTCCTTCCTAACTCCATTTCACCTGGTCCGTTAGAAATCATGCATACATCCAGGTGGGGCAACTGGCCCCTGGGCATTCGGCCCACCCTCTGCAGGCATCTGGCCCACCCCTGGCCCTGCGGTGAGGGAGATGTCCCTAACCCAGGCCCCAGGACGTCTCCCCTGACTTGGTGTGCTTGGGACGCTGGGCAATCCTCTCAGCAGGATTAGTTGGGAAGGGGCACAGACATGGGGAACCAGCCCTCAAAAGCAGAGGCTCAGACCCCACTGCAGTGTCTCATTTCTAATTTGGCTACTCTATATTTGTCCCGGAAAGTTTGCTAATAGAAGCTAGTCTTTCTTTGCTCTGAGGCCGGGCCTCAGTATCCTTTAGACAATCAATCTCGCTGGCCCCCTGAGGGAACTTTCAATTTTAGCCTCCTCACCAACTTGATTAATTATTGCCACTGGAGTGGAGAGTAGAGTGAAATCCCATACATGCAGGCTTTTTGGACTTTGCACTCCCGCCTATACCTTTATGTTAAGTGTTCAATGACTCAGGTTCACCTGGCCCTATCTCCAGTTAAAGATTGTCATCCTCTTACTCTGCTCAGTCCTTCTTCCTTTTTAGATCCACCAGAAGATCTCAGTCACCCGCCTCCCTCAGCTCGTGATCCCCTCCCCCTCTCCCCACCACCATCTTTAAGTCCTTTGTCTTCACACGTGTCATTGCCATCTTAAAGTCCTACATTCTCAACCATGCTGTTGTCCTGCTCTCCTCTTCTGGTGGCTGTACCACCCCTTCCCCTCTCCTTCCACCTTCACTGCCCTCTTCCCCCACCAGAACATGCTCCTCCCACCCTCTGGTTCCAGAAGCCACGGACTAAAAGCTGAAGAGAGGGAAGGCAATTAGATATCAGTAACTCAAGTCTTTATATCAGTTTGTCTGTCTGTGTATACGTTTTTGTGGGGGGGGTGTTGCTGACTATAGTCATTGTATCTCAGTTTGTACGTTTGTGTGTCTAGGTGTATAGATGAAAACATTTTATTTAAAAACAAGTGCTAGTGAAAATTAGGCATTCTAAAACTTCCAGAAAATCTGATAAAAAATGTTAAGCATTAATGCTAATTTGGGTTTGGCTGAGGCGGGCATGTCCTTGTTGTTATCAGCTGCCTAAGTTTACCTGAGGTCAGATAAGTCAAGTTATCTGCTAAATCTTTTAAGAATAAAATGCTTAAAGGCTTGGCTTTGTCTAATATTCAGTAAAGGCCTTGTAAATAATCTAGCATAGTTGTTATGAATGAGTGAACTAAATAAGTGTAGCAAGTGAACACATTTTTAATTGTGTTACAGTGTGTATACCTACCTACAGCCTGAGAATCTTTGTAGTAACCTAAAACCTTAAAGTTTTGCTAAGTTAAGAAGATATACTTTGTGTTTAGTGAGAGATTGTGCTGTAAAGCTCATAGTTACAGAAATTATAAAATGTTCATAAATTTGTCAAACTAAAGAATGCTACTGTTACAGTTTACAATAGCCTGCTTCTTAGTGTTCACTAAAAATTAAAGTACCTAATGGTTTTAAGTTCTAATTAAAACTACTTAAAGTAATAATGAAAACATTTCTACATCCTAAAGAATGTGTCTTTTGATAAAAAAAAGTAACTTTGTTCTAAAGTACAGCTGTTTTTACAGAGAGAACTCTAAATGAAAAAAGAAGGGTATAGAAAGTTTGTAGAGGAGTTTAATATGGCCATGCTACAAAAAATTAAAGCAAATGAGTCTCAGTACCAAGTACAAAGCAAAATTAGAATTTTGTTTTCAGTTAAAAAGGACAAAGTTTTCTTAACTGTTACTCTGCTCTTAATATTAAAAGATTGCAATGGGTTCTCTAATTGTTTAATCAAAGCAGTTTCTCATGCTTAAAGTCTCAGTGAGTTGTTGGAGTACTTAAGAAAATGAGATCTTAATATTAAAAGGACTACAAGCTAAACTTTGCTAACAACTGCGTAACCTTCTTTATTTGCCTTTGAGGTACTTTGTTGTCATTCTAGTTAAATGGATAAGTATTGCTTCATGGCAACCTATAATCCTATTTAAGCAAGTGCCAAAGAAACTTTCTTCTAACAACTTCCCAAATCAAATTCAAAAAGATAGTTTTACCTCTAGTTAACTCTGATATTTTCCAGAGGGCCCCTGGAACATGTCAGAAAAACTTTTTCTCATTGGAAAAAGTATTTGGCTAATTTTGCTTATTTATCTGATATATAATCACCTGTTAATTACCTAGAAAGCACTGTCAAAAAGAATAATGCTAAACTATGTTACTAAATGTTTTGTGTTACAGAAATATCAGAATTTCCTTATGTCAACTGTCTTACAGTAAGCTCTCATCAAATCTTTAACCATCATTTGTCTTTTATTATTTATAGTCACTGTTTTATTACTCTTAAGCTAGTAAAGAACTAGATTTCAGCAGAACAAGTATTAGTTACATAGGATTAAGTAAACTAAGGAAGATGATTTTGTAGCTTTTTGTTTCAAAAGTTGTTAATAAAGTGTTTTAAGCTTTTTCTCTTAAGCTGGCAGCAGTTTAGTAAATGACTGCCTTTATAAGCAGAATTGAAACTTTATCTTTCTACCTGAACCCTCCAGAATTAAAAAACTCTCAGTGACTATTTTTATATTTCATGGCAGTATGTTTATTTGCACAAGTTCAATAAGAATCTGCTTTCCTTGTAAGAGGACCAATTAAAACACTGGTTATATTACCAAGGCTTTGACTGGAAGGTCATACCTGAGAGACACGTATGTAAACTCAGATATGAACAGACAGCTTTAAGGAACTAAGATTGACTTTATAAAGCCAACAAAGCCCCTTGGAAGAACTGGCCCGGTACCTTGCTTACAGAGTTCCCAGCAGCCTTACCAGGTGAATAAAGAAGGTCACTGCCTGGCAGGTGCAGGAACCTCAGGAATGTCTTAGGAACCTCAAGAAGAGAGAAATTCATCCAAATCTACAAGTACTGCAGGCACAACCTGCTGGCAAGTCTGGCTTGGCTTCCTGACCTCAAGAAGCTCTTAAAAGTTCAATCTGAAATTCCTTACCAAAAGTTCCAGCAAAGCATATTTAAAAGAGCCTATGTAATCAATTGCTCTTCTTGCTACACATATGCAAATAATCAAGCCAACTGTTAATTATTTTCTTAATCTGGCTACTTCTCATAAAAATAGGAGTGATTTTAGAGAAAAGTATTGTTTCAATAATACAGTCTTATCTATACTAAATCCTAATACTAGTCATTGAGATGTGAACTCGATCCAGAATTCCAGTTCCCCATAATGGCCTGGCTAATGCCCCTACAGGGCCCCTTAATAACAGTTTGTAGTTTACTCTTAGTTGCCCCTTGTGTCCTCAAGTTCCTCCAACAATAGCTAACCCAGATGACCCAAGTCGCCACCAACCAGATGGTACTTCACTGTTATGCACCTCTTCCCACTAAACCCCCTCCTTCAGCCTAATACCAGCCTCAAACCCCCACGATGCCCCTTGTCAGCTGGAAATAGCCAGATCGAGTCATTGCCCATTATGACCAAAAGGCTGGAATGTTAGGCTGGAGAAAGGAAAAACAAGGACATGCAAACAGAACAGAGAGATGCCATAGGGGGAGAACAGACTAGACCCCAAGGTCTGTGCCTTATATGGAAAGAGGACAGCTCTTCCTGAATTCCATCCTTCTGATGTGCCAACTTTAAGACCCAGATGTCAGCCTCCTCCCTTTTGGAAGGAATAAAAGTTTCTAGTTGTCTATTATGTCACCTTTAGCCAATCATACCTC